ATACGTGTGTCACAGTGTGGGCGAGCGTGCTGAGACGAGTGTCTCGGGGCGACTTCCTTTGAAATGGGTTTTTGAAGGACAGTACCGGACGGCACGGGTGTGCCGGTATTGCGCCCTAGCCCGCGTGTTGGAGGTTGCTACATACACCCGCTATCCGGTACGGTATCCGTAAATGACTCGGCATAGGCACGGGAGGGCCTATGCCTCGATAGAACCCGGATGGATGGATGTTCGGGAAGTCCCGATGAGATGAACGACACGCGGGCTAGGGCGCAATACCGGCACACCCTATCAAGTTTATGCAAAACTGTGCCTCACACTATTGAGGACATATTCTATTTATATTGGCAAAAGATTAACTAATAGATCCGATTTCATAGGAAACTAACGAAGTAAGCCTATTCTTATGGCATGACTAACTTCAAGCTATTCTAATGGATTGACCAATTCTAACAGTCCCCTTCAATCCCAACAAGTCTTGTACATGTTGAGATTGTTACAATGTGTAGTAAAAGGAGTTTTAGACAGTGGTTTTGTCAGGATATCAGCTACTTGATCACTTGATGAAATGAACCGAACTTCCATTGCTTTACGTGCTACTTGTTCTCGAACAAAATGAAAATCAACTTCAATATGTTTCGTTCTAGCATGAAATACTGGATTTGAAGTTAAATATGTAGCTCCGAGGTTGTCACACCAGAGGCGAGGAGCCTTTGATTGATACACGCCCAGTTCCTTCAGTAATGACTTGATCCAAATCATTTCTGCAGTAAGATTCGCAATGGCCTTGTATTCTGCTTCGGTGCTTGATCTTGACACTGTAGCCTGTTTTCTGGAACTCCATGAGATTAGATTTGCTCCAAGAAATACAGCAAAGCCGCTAGTTGAACGTCGATCATCGGGACAACCAGCCCAATCAGCATCAGAAAACCCCGACAACATCATGGTTGATTTCTGAATTTTCACTCCTAATGCTAGTGTGCCTTTAACATAACGAAGAATTCTCTTCACAGCACCCCAATGAGCATCAGTAGGTGTATGAAGATATTGACACACTTTATTGACAGCAAATGCCAAATCAGGCCTAGTCATTGTCAAATATTGTAGTGCTCCCACTGTACTTCTGTATTTGAATTGTTCTTCAGCTGATAAGGGTATTCCTTGTTCTCTGAATAATTTTTCAGCAGAACCCATTGGTGTAGACATAGGTTTGCATTTTTCCATGTTTACTCTTTTCAACAAATCTAAGGCATATCGTCTCTGTGACAGTATGATACCATCTCGTGTTTTCTTGACTTCAATACCCAGAAAATACTCAAGACCACCCAAATCTTTTACTGCAAAATCTATTTTCAATTTCTGAATCAACCTTTCGGTTGCTTGATCAGAGGAGCTCACAATAATTATATCATCAACATAGATGAGCATATAGATAGTTATCTCTCTGTTTTTGAGAATAAAAAGAGATGAATCAGCTACTGAAGCCTTGAAGCCTAACTCAATAAGTTTTCCAGTCAACCTTGAATGCCAAGCTTTTGGGGCTTGTTTCAGGCCATAAAGGGCTTTCTTGAGCTTGCATATGTAATTCTTTGGTTTGGCTGAGTCTTGAAATCCTGGTGGTTGTCGCATGTACACTTCCTCTTTCAGAATTCCATGCAAAAATGCATTTTGGATATCAACTTGTCTCATATTCCAGCCCTTGGTTACTGCTAGCGAAAGAATGACCCTGATTGTTGACGGTTTGATCACAGGGCTAAAAGTATCAGTGTAATCAACACCAAATCTTTGCTTGAATCCTTTGGCAACTAATCTTGCTTTTAATCTTTCAACTGACCCATCTGCTTTTCTTTTCACTTTATACACCCATTTACTATCAATGAGATTTATTCCAGGTTTGGGTGGAACTAGATCCCAAGTGGCATTTCGTTTTAGCGCTGAGAGCTCATCATTCATTGCTCCTCTCCATCTTGGATGTTGCATGGCTTCCTGCAGGTTTCGAGGTTCAGTAGCAGTCTCTATGATCGGAGTTGTGATAGTTACAGCGCTTGCGAATTTTCTTGAGGTTTCTGAATATCTGATAGTTCCATCAGTGAATTGTTTAGCTTGTACAATGTTATTTCTCAACCTTGTTCGCATTGGATGTTGACTAGCTGCTTCAGTTGGTTGATCAGACACATGTTCATGAGTTTGGTTTTGAGCATTGATCGAACTGCTCTCAGCTTCATATTCTGCAATTTCCTCTGAACTTCTTGTATTATCTGCAGAAGATAAGCTGACACCAGACAAGTTGTCACTAGCAATATTATCAGTTTGACCATCATTCATATGGGAATTACTAACAACTGGTTCAATATCTGTAAGAGCATTTTCAGTGTAAAAATTAGCAAGTTTGGCTAAGGCTGGAAGTAGAACAGGATGATGTGGATTTGTGGTTTTGTTTGGTGGCTTAGATTCTTCAAAAGGAAAAATATTTTCATCGAAAACCACGTCTCTAGAGATGTAAATACGTCCTGTACTTCTATTTAAGCATTTATATCCCTTATGAGAAGAACTATAACCCAAGAATATACATCTAGTAGTTCTGAAACTCAGTTTCTTGTTGTTGTAAGGCCTTAAATTAGGCCAGCAAGCACAGCCAAACACCCTAAGCATGGAGTAGTCTGGACTTTTACCAAACAATTTATGAAGTGGTGTGTCTTGTTGTATGGTTCGGCTGGGCATTCTATTTATAAGAAAGCAAGCTGTGTTGAAAGCTTCATCCCAGTAGGATAGAGGCATGTTGGCTTGAGCGAGTAAAGCAAGGCCAGTTTCTACAATGTGTCTGTGTTTTCTTTCGACTAACCCATTCTGCTGGTGTGTGTGAGGACAGGAGATATGATGTTCAATGCCTGTGGATTTGAAATAATTGTGTAACCGATGGTATTCACCCCCCCAATCTGATTGGACGGAGCGAATTTTGGTATTTAGCATAGTTTCAACATGTTTTTGAAATTGAAGGAACACAGACTCAACATCAGATTTGCATCTCAGAAAGTAAATCCAAACATAACGACTAAAATCATCAACAAAGGAAACATAATATTTGGAATTATTTACTGACGCAATGGATGGACCCCATACATCAGTGTGAATTAATTGAAGGGGTGCTGTAGATACATGCTGAGAAGAACCAAATGGCAATTGATGTGCTTTCCCTAATTGACAAGCATTACAAATTGAGGAAGAGGGAATATTAGTATCTATAGCTAAATTATTATCTTGTAGAATTCTAATGGTAATTGGAGATGCAGGGTGCCCTAGCCTTCTGTGCCATTGTTCTTTCGAAAGTTTGGCTGTCAGCAAGGCTTGACTGAAATTATGCGGTAGAACGTATAGGCCATTCTTACATCTACCGTGGAGCAGGAGTTTCTTCGTGACTCGGTCCTTAACCAAAAAATAGTTTGGGTGAAATTCTACAACAGCATTATTATCAGATGCTAGTCTTTGTACTGAAATTAGGTGCTTATTGATTTTAGGAACATATAGGATATGTTTCAGAACAAGAGATGAACCAGAAATTAATGAATTCCCAATATGAGAGATAGACAAACCTGCGCCATTTGCAACCTGAATTTGGTCGGTGCCAGTGTAGCGTTCTCTGGTGGTAAGCCTCTCTAGGTCATTGGTGATATGATCTGTGGCTCCAGTGTCAACATACCAGTTTGTGTCACTAGTGTATCCACTTGTTGCCAAAGCTGCTTGTTTGAGATTATTTTCGGCTTGATATGCCTGATCAAATCTGTGCCAGCATTGCAAAGCATCGTGATTGGGCTTACCACAAATCTGACAGACAATGCCTGAGCTGCTTTGTGTCTTTGATGGTTGACGTCCAGGATTGTTCACAGTACGCCTTGATTGTCCATGACCACTATTTAACTGACGACTACGACCGCGACTACCTCGACCTCCATTGGCACCTCCACGAATGGATATCCTATTGACATTGTTAGCAGATGAAAGTTGCTCAAATGTACCCTTACGCAAGTGCCGCATCTCATAGCTCAGCATGTGAGCATACACGTCGCTGACAGTGTATACATCTGTTCTGGTTGTAATGCTTGTGACTAGAGGATCATAATCTGGACCAAGTCCTTGCAGCATGTAGGCGATGAGTTCTTCATCCTCTATTCGCTTGCCAATGGCAGCAAGTGTATCACCAAGATGTTTTACTTTACGAAAGTAGTCAGCAATTGTCATGTCCTTTTTCTGGATAGTAGAGAGTTCCATACGGATCTGCATTGCTCTTGCTCGAGATGTGGAAGCAAATTGTCGCTCCAGCGTAATCCAGGCTTCTCGTGCAGTGGTGATTCCAACCATCGTGCTGAGAACCTCCTCAGTGACTGATGAGTTGATGAGGCTGAGTACCAGCTGGTCCTGGGGGTACCAGACTGTGAACTCAGGGTTGATGATAATTTTGCGATTCCCTGTTTCTTCACTTGGTTCAACGGCGATCGTCTGGCTTGGTGCAGGCATGGATCCATCCACAAAACCAACAAGGTTTTGGCTACGCAAGTAGGGAAGGATTTGGGTAGACCACAGTAGATAATTTTCTTGTGTAAGCTTAACACTAATCACCTGACTGATCGACGGAGAAGACATTGTGTTGTTTGGGATTGACATGTCTAACAGCAGAGGCTATGGATCTCGTGGATCTTATTTCGGCTCTGATACCATATCAAGTTTATGCAAAACTGTGCCTCACACTATTGAGGACATATTCTATTTATATTGGCAAAAGATTAACTAATAGATCCGATTTCATAGGAAACTAACGAAGTAAGCCTATTCTTATGGCATGACTAACTTCAAGCTATTCTAATGGATTGACCAATTCTAACATAGAGTACTCAAAACAGCATCAAATTCAGAGCAGGAGATAGAACAAGAGGGAATAAATCAATTAATTTAAACTAAACAAAGAACACCAACGACATAAATCATTCAAACAAAATTCAGAGTACCAATGCTAAATTCAAAGACAACGACGACAGTAAGAATGGCCCAGACGGAGTAGCGGCTGAGCTCCTCAACGGGCTGCTTGAAGAAGATCAACAAAGAAATAAGCGTGAGAGCAAGAGCCATCTTGGCAGAGAAAACAATCTTCCTCGGATCGGACACGCCCATCTGCCAAGACTTGTAAAGAACATCCTGAACGGAGCTCCATAGATTACAGATTCTATACGGAACGGAACGAAAGGAGGAGCAAAAGGAAGGATTGTCCTGGAGAGTTCCATAGATTAGGTCAGGGAATTCCTTGGCCGAAAGAAGCCGCTCCCTCTTCTCGGCGAAGCTCTGCTTGAACGAACCATATTTGGCGACCTTCATTGATAACCAAAGCTTTTGAAACGTCACAGAAATGAAAACTCAAATAGCAGAGTAAAGGTGGAAAGCGGTGATTCCCAGAAAAAGGGAGAGCAAGAGAGGGAAAAAAAATGGAATTTATAGTCGCGGGGGACGAGCGCTCCTGACTTTGATTTAATTAGCAGGGACTTCCATCATCTAACAGTTCTAAATTATTTTTTTAATTTTATTCTTCTCATTTTAAAAATATTTTACACGTTTCCAATTTTGTATTACCATAATTTTCTTGACATATTATAAATTTTTTAAAATTAATTCATCTTAGAATTAAAATTTTCTACATAGACAAAATTGAATAAAAAAATTTAAACCGTCGTAATTATTATTATAGATTTAGTTTTATAATTTCGAAACTATCTTAATATTAATTTTTAATTTTATATTTAATGGGTTTGAAATTTTTAATTTTTTAAAATTAATGGATGTATTAAATATAAATTTAAATATTTTCAATATGATAGATCATGATTTTAAAAAAATAATTACTAATATAGGTAGTTTTGATATTAAATAATGGCGAGTGTGTGTGGTCAAATGACGTGTCTCTATTTTCTTTTTAATTATATTTTATATTTAATAAATTCATAAATTTTAATTTTTTTTAATCTAATATCACGTTGATAATATGGCACCCTCTCACAAGTATTGAGGGAGGGAAGAACAAGGAGTGTGTGGAATGGCACACAGGCTGCATGGTTCAACTCACTTAAACAGTGTCCTTTCCCTCTATTTCTATAGAGTCAAAATCTGTATTGTCTCTGCACCATGGCATCTCTTCCATATCTCCCATGCCTAACCTTGCTCTTTCTCCTGCACGTTCTTCTACCGATTGCTGTTTCACAAGATCCGACCCTCTCGAGCCCCACCATAGCTCAATGCACCGCTAGTCTTCTTCCATTGGCATCGTGTGCGCCTTTCATGCAAGGTATGGCGTCAATGCCACCAATGACATGCTGTGGTAACCTGAAACAACTCTACACCAGTGTCCCCAGCTGCCTTTGCCTCTTGCTGAATGGCACTACCTTGAGTTCTTTCCCTATCAACACTACTAGAGCTACCCAGCTGCCTGATCTTTGCAGCCTTCAAGTTAACATCTCTACATGTTCAGGTATCACTATAATCCTGTCATCCTAAAGCCTCTTAAGTATCTTCTTCTACTTCGTTCTAACATTTATAACTCTCTGAATGGTCATTTGAAGCTCTCCTTGAGCCACCAAGTCCTCCAAGTTCTCATGTTTCTCCTAGAGTAGACACCAACACCACAATTACCAATGCTACGGTTCTAGGTATAGTTTTTGGTTCAGCTCTACTACAAGCACGACATGTTATACATTGTGACACTACTTTTATGGATTTCAGCTACTCCAGTGGGTCAACCAACGCCAAAACCTAGCATGGTGGGGTTAGGATTGGGCAGCATCAGTGCTAGTTTCAAGCCAAGGGCGGGAATTCAGCTCACAGTAGTGATTGCTATGAAGACTTTTCTGTTTCTTCTAGTTCTTCATTGAAACCAATTATCTAAAATTTCTTTCAACATTATATGCTCTTCTTTATTAGATTTCCAGTAGGTTGTTTTGGTTCAATAACGTTGTTTCTTTAGCATTCTAACATTTGCAGACCAATACCCTGTTTTCAGATATGTCTTGTTCCTTTGTCTCCCTAAAACAGTCAGCCCAAGGAGGAGAGAAATCTAAGTAAAAGGCCATAGCAGATAGACAGAATGAAGTAAATGAGAATGGCCTAAAAGAAGAACAATATGGTGACAAGAAAACTAAGACATGCAAAATCAAAATCTTTACTAGATTCAATAGAATAAGGTTTTCATAACATACCTAGAAAGCTTATGGCATTACAAATTCACACAGTATTCTTTGTTTCCTTTTCACTTCTTTAACTGCTTACGAGGATGATAATGGATTCAAGATGTGGGGACTGTTTTTGATATCGAAATATCAAGATCATTCCAAACTAGGAGCCACCTCTGTTGGATTAGATTCAAAGACATCTGGGTTTGATGCCTCTGGTTCTTCTAATATCTCTTGAGTTTGAACTGATTCTTTGTATGCAGGCGTGTCCTTGAAATCAGTGGCTCCTTCGTTGTATGTAGTGACAGCAATACCACATGCAATTACCTATTGTAATGATGAATGAATTAGTGAATCCATTTGCGAAAAGGATAACAGAACATGAGCTATCTATTTTATCCTTTTCTAGAAAAACTACCCAAAAGAAAACATCTAATTGATGTTAGAACATGATTCTGTTCTTGTTATGTTGAAGAAAAGGCTGAGTTGCTGGTTAATTTAGTGTTTGGGCCTCGCTTATCTCAAATCTCATCTGTCAATTACAGAAGCAACTAGATTTCTGGAACTAAGTTATTAATCTGAATCTTTTGCTGAATGCTATCTAAGATTAGAACAGACAACAGAATCAATCAAATAATTATAGGACATGATTAAAGGTAGGGAATAATCGAACCGCGAAAGCGATGCCAAAGGCCCACAAGTACTCGAGGAAGAAGCCGAGGGGATCCCACTGCTGACCCTCCCAGAAATCAGGCTGGAGCCCAGGCAATTCCGGCAAATTCTCATCCACATCAAACGCTACACCGGCATTTTCAGCAATTTCGGCCATCCGATTTTGTTCTTCTTCTTGTTGTTCTTCCTGTTCCTTAGTTGACGTCGAGCTCCTCCGGTTCTTACTGTCGATTCGGCCAATTCGGAAGGAGGATTTCTTTGAATGAACGACATGGAGGGTGCGGGCTTCTTTAGACGGCGAAAAGAGCGCGTTGCGACGGAAAAGGACTTGGTTAGAAGGAGTTCTGGTGGAGGTTCTATAGAGAATTCCCCCGCCGGTGCCACAAGTGGCGCCGCCATTGGTTATGGTCAGAGCCATTTGAGTGGAGGAGAGTGAGCTCTGAACACCCAGAAAAATGGAGGAGGATTGTGCGGATAAGAAGATAGAGGGGAAATTTCAAAAAAAAATAAGATCATTTTTAATTTATATACTTCTAGGATATTTGGGAGGTCAAAAGACTTTATTACCCCTTTTAAATAATTTCCTAAACTTATAAATCAGAAAAATCGAAAATACATCATTTTTGGTTTCTGAACCAACCTGATTCATATTATTTATTAAAGAAATTACCAAATTAGTTCACTTTTATTCAAAAAATAAATAAAAATAAAAATAGAGAAGCTAATTTTTTTTATTAAAGAAAATTTTGACTAAATTGATTCGTAAATTTGATTTGGTTCAGTTCATCAAGGCAAATATTCAAACACCAACATCGAAAATATTTGAAAAAATGGGAATATGGGATATGGTTTGCACATTATTTTCTGATATAGTTTGAAATATTTCAACTCATTTGGAACATTTGGTAGCAATCTAGTCATTCCAACTTGTGTTCTAATAATTAGTAATAAAAACGAAGCATTAACAAAATCGATCGAGTTTTATCAAAACACTCTGTCAAGGTATGTGATTCCGTCTTGCGGCGTACTACAGTTGAAGAACAGTTGAAGAGGAGATCGAGCTAGCACCCAAATTTTGCTCTTTCTTTTTGTTAGGACTGTGAAACATAGATGAATTCAAATTCTCTTTTACTAGTCTGTTCCTCTGTTCTGAAAGAAATTCCACAAATTCCGTTTTCTTCTTGTCTGCCTTTTCAATTTCTCCGTCTCAAAAATAATACAATTCGGTTGATAATTATAAACAAGGCATGGTCTCCGATCGATACGCCAATTCCGTCGCCACGTCTGTATGATCGAACAATCCACCCAACACCACCACCTCTTCCTCCTCCTCTCGATTCCATTCGTTCTCACTCCTCAAATTCTCAAGCCAACAGTAATTCGGAACAGTTTCATCCTCAAGCCCTAAAATTCCTTTCATATCGCCGCTACCTAAAAACTCTGCCGCGAAGTTAACGGCCTCGGTCTCCTCTTTCTCACCAGCCGGCGGAAGCCCTAATTCATCGTCCGACGCTTCCAAAAGGAAGCCAAGTTCGGGCTGACCAGAAGGAACCGGCACCTGAATTTCCTTCTCGAAGCTTCTAATCACCGAGTCGAGATCTTGAATCTCCGACTCGCGATCTATGTAAGCATCGACGTCGTCGAGAATCTTCAGCAGGTCATCCTGAATTAAGTTTGCCTGAAACGAATCGATCGATTTCGCATCCGATGAAACGGAAGCAATCGGCGCATCATCCACATCCAAGTTAGCGGAATCAAGTCGGACGAACTTAGAGTTGGATCCGATAAAATTGAAGAGAGAATCATTGGATTCATCCCGTAGCCGCTTCCTGCTGTCAACGCAGGCTTCCATTAGGAAGAAGAATGGCGCAGCGGAGAGTTAGAGGGAAAGAACTTTGGTTTGAGAATGGGAGAGGAAAACAGAGCTTGCGATCCCAATAGTTGCAGAGTTCGCGACGGAGAAATGGAGGGAAGTCGCGGGCATTAAATAGTGAGGAATTCGTATAATTCAAACGCACTTAGGCGCGTACAAATCCTTATCGCCTCGCTCCACGTCATTCTATATAAAAATAAATAATTCAATTTTTGTTGTAGAAAAACCCTACTAAAAAAACTAAACCCCGTTTAAATCGACTATAAAGAAATTAAAAGAAAATAAATAAAATTAAAAAATAAATCATTATAATTAAATTTAAACGGAGTATTTAAAGTCCGCTCCGAAATATGAGGTGAGCATGAAATTCACGACTTTTGAATCAATACCGGACCCACACATACGTATTTGCCACGTCATCCCACAAAAGAGTATCAGACGCGTGGCATCGGCAAGGCGCCTTCGTTGCTCTTTTGTTGTCGTGGACACGTCTGCAAAAGACACGTACGCACTTACCACGTGATCGGATGTGTGAATCGTCAATTTTAGTACTTAAAATTTCCCCTTAAATCAGTGAGCTTCCACGTCAGTTCCAGATATTTTCATGAAAGGTTCAAAAAATTTAATTTAATTTAATTTAATTCAACCACTCATTCATTAAAATATTTCAATGATTTTCTAAACAGTTTTCATTTACTAAATTTATTTATTAGTTTATAAATTTTAAATCAATCTTAGCTTAACTTAATTGTTGTATTTTTTGCTTTTATAAATTGATTAAATTTCATTAATTAATGTTATTAGTTTATTTAAATAAAACACATTCTTATTTAAAAAAAATAAATAAATAAATAAATACTTTTATCGATATTACCATCTTTAAAATATATTCATGATCTTTCAAAATTAACATTAAAATATTTGAAGATAATCTATAAAATGTGTGAGTATATTTTTAAATTTATAGATACTTTAGAGATAATAATAAAACTTTTTAAAAAAAATGGATACATTTAAAATACTATTAAAATTTTTAATATATTTTGGTTTTTTTTTTTAAAGTATTTTAAAAATAAATGACAAAAAATTAGGAATATTTTTATTAATTTTTAAAAAAATTTAATAACAAAAGGAGCTGGAATGAGTGGAAAATAGTACAATAAACAGAAGGAAACGACACAGTATAGGGGAAGGATGGGCCCACAGAAACATTAAGGCATAGCAACATCACATGGGTGGGACCCAGTAAGGTATGTGGTGGGGTCCATTACACTCTCGTCCACTTGATCTTCTCGATTCGCGTGGGGCCCTTCCGATTCTCTACCGCCGGTTACACGCTACACATACATCACCACAACTTTTCCTTTTCTTTTTCTTTATTCAAAATAATTAATTTTCAATATTATGGTTGTGTTGTGACGTAATAATTTAGACGGTAACCAATTATTTTATTATCCACTTCCCACCCAGCTTTCCGGTTGCCGGTACCCTATAACTATTTTCTCACCTTCCTTTATAATTTTAAATATATTTTAATTTTCCTTCATTCATGAGATTTTGATCGTCCAACGAACCACCTCGGCTCCTCTCTTCTCGAAAATTTGCAAATTCCTTATTAATATACGGACATCAATCTCTCGAGCACCAGTTTAGATTCGATCTTATTGAAAAAATAAAACGGAGCACCCAACAATGTATTTTCACAGACTAAGAACTATGAAACTGTCTCTTTCATTTTGAGGTGACTGAACCTCTACCCAGTTTAATTAATTTATGATATTTTAGTTGACCTATTTACACCAATAACATGTTTGGTTCGAATGATGGTTGCGTTTAAAATAGGAAATAATAACATTGAGGCCCACTGTCCACTACGAGTTGGGTTTCAATTTTAAATACTATTTTTATTTATGTCATTTAACGTTTTTAAGGTATCGAATTCTTATAAGTTTCAAACTTAAAAACATCATATGTTCGAATCTTTCACGTTTTCGTGGGTTAAAAAATGATATATAAAAAATCGGCGACTTGACACGAACCACAAAATGAGAATCATGGCACGTTTGTTTTGAAAGGCCAAAAGCATTTTACTTTTGTTGTAAATGCCTATTGTGTCCTCCTAGTCTTAACCCCTACCACTATAGCATGGACGGCAAAAACCATAAATATATAAAGTTATAAACGTAAAGGGTAAAAAAGTAATTTTGAGACCGAAAACGAACATTGAAACTAACTCGTAGGTTCAAGAACCGACATCGAAGACGATCGTAATTATTCCCGTGGAAGATTTGATATAAAGTGAAATTAAAGTTATTTATGGTATTTAAATAAGAAAAGTTAACATTTTTAGTGTAGGAATATTGATTTAGGTTGCATTTTTATTTTGGGCGAGTTTTGAAAATCAATAATTTTATAAGTAAAATTAGATGTCACATCAGACATAAAAAAAAATTTGGGCCCATTGTGTTCTTAGCCCATCTTTCCATTCTCTCTAAATTTCTCCATCTAATTTTACTAACTTAAATAATGTTAAGTTGATTTTATTTCAACCAGGCTATTGCCTTTTCTCTTAAAAAGAAAAATAAATAATGTCAATATTTTAATAAACTAAAACACGACTTCTTACCGACTAACGTCAATCATATTTCAAATCACGGAGATTTAATCTTCTGATCTGTAAGTTGATCATAATTCGAATAATGTTTTGAGTCGATTAATCTTTTGATCGGCAAGCAGAAGATGATTAGAGCAATTTTCTAAATCGATCGAATTTTCTGATGTATAAGTTGATCGTGATTCGAATAGTTTTTTAAGTCGATTTAATCTTTTGATCTATAAGTTGATCGTGATTCGAGCGATTTAATGAGTAGATCGGGTTTCATATCGTTATGAAAAGGGAAATATATATATAATTATTATAATATTGGTAATATTTTTACAATCCTAGGAAACAAATTAAAGAGAAAATTGAATTAAACTTGAAAGCGTTGTATATTTATGAGATCTCGATCACCGCCGATCATTCCGATCATGTCAGAATTCTCGATCACCGGCCGTCGCTCTCAACCGCCACCGCTATATTCAAATCCAACCGCAATCCATTTTCCGCCACCACTTCCTTCCCCTTCCCACCCTGTTTCATCCGCGCCACATCGGTCTCCGCCTCTGCTCTCTTCACTCCCTTCTTTTCCTCCTCCTTCTCTTCCCGATCCGCCGCCGCAGCAGCCACGTCCCTTAATCTCTTCGTCAACATCCCCTTTTCCACTCCAAAATATTCCGCCGCTCGCTTCATCCGCCGCAGTATCGAATAGAACTCCTCCACCTCCTCGTCGGTCGGCTCCTTCTCCGCCGCCGCCGCCGTCGTCTCATCATTCTTGGTTTTCTTTTCACAGAATTTTCCGTCGTTCTCCGACTGACACTTTCTCTTTTCCCTCACCATTTTCAAAATTTTCCTCGCCGGAAGAAGAAAAGAAGAATGAATTCGTGTTTGGAAGAAGGGGGGAGGGAGGTGGTCTTTTAATGTCGAATATAAAGAGTTACGAGCAAATAAATAAATAAAATAAAATAAAAAGGAGAAATGATTCTTGGAGAAAATTTTGAAACCCGTAGAGTGGTGTTTTTTGGTAAAGCGTGTTAGTGCATGCAAAAAAAAAAAAAAAAAAAAAAAAAAATGGTCTCCAACTGAAAGTTGACTCTTTTTTTTAAGCATTTCAAATATTTATTTATTAAAAAATGTATATTAAGTTTAAGATCTTGATTTTGTCTATACTTATTAAGTGAATTTTAATATTTAATTTAAATGATAAATATATATTTGAAAGGTAGTGGTAAGATTACTATTACTATTATTATTTAAAGTTTAAATGAAACAAACCCTAAATTGGATGAATAATTTGAATCGATGATTTTAGGCCGTTGGATTTAGGGACTTGGCATATAGTGACGTCATAGGGATGCAAGTATCTGACGTCATTGGCAGAAAAGGAGATGTCAGACCCTATCACGGATAAAGTATGAAAATAAAACTTTCGTGACTTTTTTTTTTTATTTTTTTTAATTTTATATATTTTATTATAGTTTATAGCTTTTTAATATAATTATTTACCTAAGAAAGAATCCGGTTCAAGATGATAATATATAATTTATTTAGTTAGAAATAAAAGGTTTCCATGTTCAGAAACAGACAAATTAGGCTGACTTCGGACAGTGAGTCAGCTTTTTCTATTGTTTTGGAAAATAAAATATGAAGACCAAATGTGTTCTTTTTGGGAGCACATTGTATTATACTATTTTATTTATGGGTTCCAAAAAAGAAAAAAAAAAAATCTATAATACATAAAATTTAATTTTTTTTGTTAATATCATTGACTTTAACACAGTCAAAAGGCTAAATGGAGGGATGTTATCAATAGTTAAAACCAAGTTCCTATCAACATAACAAATCCAAGGAGTTAGACGACAATTTTTCAAGAACCAATCTGTATCTATGACGTTACTTGGAAGGTTCGACGCAGTTTCTTAAGGATTGATATGCTATTTCCCCAGAATAATACAAGTAATTAGTCAAAAACTACAAAAAGGAAAGGGAGAAGAAACGACCTCCATTCAACCAAAATTAAGGAGATGCTTCAAGCTGGTGCGGCTAATTAGTCAAGTCACATTGTGTTCGTCATCAAAAGCCAGTTCGCACACAAGAGCAAGATGATCACTGCCCCATTTCTGCATTGATAACGTAACATAACATAAACTTTGGTAGAGAAAAAGAAAAAAGAAAAAAAAAAAGATAAGATGAATGATCCTATTTTTTAAAGAAGGAAAAGAGATTTTGTATTAAACAATGAGGATTCCTGTTCTTGGTCGTATCTATCAACAAATTTGATGTATTTGAGGGGATAAGACCAAAGGAAGTCCTTAATTCTTTTTGGGGTTTTGCCTCCAAATTCTCTCCATCAGGTTCTTTGGGATGATTTTATGACTCTTAATTCACAGTACAAGGAAATTTTGAAGCGAAAATAGCCAATAGCCAATAGCCAATAGCCAGAACTATTCTGAAGAATAGACAGAACAATAAAGAGCCTGTCTAATGAAATCTTCCCTATCAGGAGAGTATCAATGATCTGAGTAAAAGCCTGACCCAATAAATCTCCTAATCTAAGATTCCACCCACACCCAGCTCTACAGTGTTACAAATTTTCACATATACCTACTTAATTGTCTTACATCTCGGCCGTGGTCCTATAAAAGTATTGGTTAACTCGTTGATCTCTCAAAGGTTTTATAAAAAATTGGAGAAAAAGATGAGAAAAATAGGTAGAAATTTGAAAACTCTAATAATGGTAATACAATTATTCATAAGTATCTCAAAGGTTTTATACAATTGCTGGTTACATTTCATAAGTACCTCATTAGGAAGTCCTCCAGTCCTTTTTAATGCATCAATAGGCAATGTTTCCAGAACCCTAACAGGGGCAAGTTTTTCTGAGTGCCTGCGATAATAATCAAAGCAAGTAACTAAAGTTCTCAAGGCCAAAGCATGAAAAAAATTGCTTTCAACAGTAAAATCTGATACCATATATAATCGACAGTTCCCATAAAGTTGGAGTGGAATGAAGTTACTAAAGGTTCTCCATTAGCATCTCTTGTTTTACAACTTCCCTGAAAAATTTAACCGACTTGGATGAGAGAACGCAAACGAAACTAAATAGCAGCAAATAACTCTGCCCTCTATTTCAAAAACGATAAAAAGTTAATATCATGAGTTGAAAGCACAAAAACAATCTTAAATAGTACCTTTTATTGTTACATATAAATCATATGATACTACGTATACATTTTTGTGACAAAAGGGAAAAACTTAAAATAAATATTAAAAACTGCGCCGCCCTCTTTTTCATATAAAAAACCTAGAGTTAGATTATTTTTATTTCACACTTCAAAATATTAGATTTCTTTGCAGCCAAAGCATCTTACTTTATTACAAAGCTTGACAGAACTAACCGTCCACTTATTTAACCCATCTTTATACTTTTGACTTTTCAGCCTCTACTTATTCCTCATAAGTTCCTTTCACACATAAAGCAGTCTCCGTACCCTACCATTTACAGTAACTGAAACAAATTTCCAAAGAATTTGTTACCTCCATGGCAGTGCAGTTTCGTTTGTATAACTTCTTTCAAATTCCTTTGGGGTGATTCGTTTTTTGAATATTTAATTTGGATTCATCTCTGATCAATGACATTAACTCTTTCTTTGAAAAGTCTAAACTTCATTCTTAAGTTACTAAATTCCATGTTTACATTGGTGATTTGCTTTTTAAAACGTACAAGTCAATGAAACTCATTCAAACACAATGCTAGTGAATCACCTCATTCTCCATTTTGACTTGTACCTTATGCACCGAGCTACACTAGATAAATAATGAGAATTTAAGAAGATTAAACATCTTACAGGAACCCCATAGTATGCACTGGAAAGCTTTAAATGGTGCTGAAGACAGGTAACGTTCTCGATACCAGATGCGATCCTTATTTCCTCACCACTCCATCTGAAGGACCTTGAGGCTGAAACATTGGACCTAGCAAACAAATGAAATAATACATAAATGGAAAGCTACAAATTAATCTCTACTCATATCTGCAACATGGTCCACCTTTTTTAAACACTTCATCGATCCTCTACAATTAACAGTAAAACATAATTTATGATGTCAATACCATGCATCCTGTTCTGCTCCCAACAGTATGGGCGTTGTGTAGTACTTAAAACATGCAACGCTCAGTAGCAAACATACAGTAGATAGAAGTATCAGCTATAATTGATTGAGAAATTAGATTTCAAATAATTAAAAAACAAAAAGAGAACAAGAACAAGAAGAAGGAAGATATTGTATTGAAGTTTAGTCATACCATTTTGTACCCTCACTACAAAATCTGAAGGCTCCGCGTGATGATGAAAAATCAAGCTGCCCTGAAATCTTTCTGCGGTCATGCAGTTGTATATCCAGCTGCTCAACCACCAAAAGAACTTGAAATGAAATTCCAACCATGGAAACACACAAAAGAGGAATTCCAGAAAATCATGTTCAACAATCCAGAAAAAGACAATAGATCATAAAAAATTACAAGTAAAAGTGAACTGACCTCTGATGAAGCCAAAAACTGATATATTGCACTCTGATCATTTGAAAAAATGAAAGATACAAGACAAGATCAATGGCTAAAATGGTCGAAATTGCTACCAAGTATAATCGGGTGAATATATTTGTTGTCGTGGTAGAAGAATCCTCTCCAGTGAAAGAGAATTACCTTTGGTATGCTATTCAGATCCCCGGCCATAATAACAGGTATGTTTCCCCATCTTTGTGAGAGGCTATGAGCTTTTTCAAGAAACAGTCTGACCTATACGAGCATTATGTAATAAAATTAGGGCACTGAGATGCCTAACATTTTTTTCTTAAAGGACAATTCAAATAGATGATAAAAAATATTTTCCAACTACCTAACCATACCGGAAAAAGGAAAAAGGAAAAAGGAAAAAGGAAAAAAGAAAAGAAAAGAGAGAGGGAAATAGCCAGGAGATTGCAACTAATGCTAAGCTGATATGCAAGAATATTCAGACAGAAACATAGTTGGCGCAAATCACGTAAAATTATTAACCATGCAACAAAAACTACAAACATTCAAGGATTACAGTAGTTGATACCTGCCCGAGCTTAATGTCTCCTCGATTTGGGTTGAAAAGAACGTGTATGTTCCCAATCACAAAGCTTCGACTACAGTTAATAAACACATGCACAGAAGTTAAAGAAAGAACAAGTAGCGAGACAAGATTATTGTAATCAACAGCTTTTATCAAATATTATATAATTTCTAAACATGAAATACATGCAGAGGCCGTGAAAACAATATCTCAAGAAAATATTCCTCAAGATAATTTTTTTTATGTAAATTCAAAAAGCAAGAAAACGTTGCATGTAATTTTTTTTTTTTACTAAATCCATGAAATTTGTTTCTCATTTTCAAAAAAGAGATCAACGAAGAAATTTGACTCATCATACAAAATAAAAACAAAATTGCATAATGCAGAATGTACCTTGTTTTGGACTTTGATTTAGGTTTATTCATCTGTACAATTTAAGGAGTAATAGAAAATGTAAAACGTTCTAAAAATCCATAGATTGATAATAAATCATCAATTTGAAGTACATACGATGATCTTCATTATCAAGGAAATATGCCTAACATACAAATAAAAGATAAAAAATAAAAGGCAGCACTATTCTTCATGACTTGAAGTTGAAGGTAGCAGCACATTAAGAAGAAATTGAAACTTAACATCTACTAAATTTACAAGAATGAAAAATACGTTTGAAAATATATCTACCCAACCAATTAAAGAAGTTATGACCTTACTTAAATGGGATCTATTCTATAAGTTGTACAAGTACGTCCTTGAGTTCTAAGGAGACCAACTACAGAAGGTTATCCTTCCCAAAATATTTTCCCCTCCCCATAAAAAAAAAAAAAAAAAAAAAAAAAAAAAAAAAAAAAAAAAAACCTCCTAGCCAATCAAAGCATCCTATGATTAAGTGAATGATGGAAAATTTTGTACACAATTAACAGAATTAATACATGAAAACAATTGAAGTTATTAGTTTAGCACGGTAACTTCCCAAAAGAATAATAAATATAGCAGAATGATATAAATGAATTCCTTTATACCTTAAAAACACATAGTTGAGCAACATTGTTACGTAGCCCAAAACTCTGGAACTCTATACTTTCTTGATGCAAAAGGGTAAACCTGTGACCAGAAGAAAGGCCTGTAAATGTGCTGAATCACTATTCACAGAGATACGGATAGTTAGGGGCAGCCTAATAGAGAGAGAAAAATCTGATTTGCGACAAATCTAACTGTCCAGTATGCTTATAATAGGAAATATTTCAATTCTGACATTACAAGCCCAATCAACATCTCTCATACATATCAACAGAGTTACAAGGTACTGAGTCAGTTAAAAAATTCAGGAGCTCATTCATCTATTCTGTGATCTTATAAATCAGCTACTACAATTCAAAGATACCAAGAAGGATGAGAGACCTTACAGTTTTTCAATCCAAAATAAAGCACACCCGTCATTTGCTTCACCAGTTCTAGCCTATAAAAGATCGCCACTAAGTTTTCTTGATGCAGTACAAATTATCCATAAGTATTCTATTGACAACTGACTTAACACAAAATATATCTCAAACACACCTTGTAAACACTTTTGTAGCCATAATTTTGGAAAAGTTCATCCAAATCATTAAAACGGTCAACCTCCTGCAGATATATAGTTCCATTTGCATGAGTAAGAAATTATTCTTAGCACCTATGAAATATCATGGTTAAAAGAGACCTGATAAACAATACGACCTCAAAAACAAGGGAGCATGAACAATTATTATTTAGTAACTACACGAATAAGAACGGGACACTAAATGTCCCTCACGATTAACAGCAACTTGACCCTTCCTAATTTCTCATGTTTTCTATTTGATGCATGAAGTATTGCCCCTAAATTGGTAAGCAGGCTTACGCTGTATTGATTTGTATTTTATGCCTTCAGAGCCCCAGAAAACCAAGAGTAACCCTTAAAAGCCTTTAATATAATAGGTCCTTAGCTTGCCAAGTCTCTAAATTTGATATCTAGTTTTGCTTTAACTACAACAAAAGCTTATACCTTAAGAAATTTAGCAATTTGAATCTAGTAGGAAAAGTATTATGAAATGTACAAATAAGAACGACAGTTGTAAGGCTGTATTTTATTAGTGTAGGCGTAAACAAAATCTATTTCTTATTAGATTACGTTTCTCATATTTCCCATTTCTATGAGCAACTACTGCAGTTGCAGAACCACAAAAGACATCAAAGGGTAACTAAACATCATTTAAATTGTACAATGACATCAAGCTATGGAATTTTAATGAGCAAAGATATAACTGTGCGTCTGTGCCCCGTAAATGAAATTAAGGAACACGTGAGAAGGACAGGAAATGAGGGTTGACCAGTTTTAGAAGGAAGGGTCTAACAAATTACCTGCAAGCATAAGATGCCTGCATTGTAAAATTTAATTGCATTGCATATAAGCTCTTTCCGGAAACTCCAATCCATGAATTTGGAAGGCACTCTATGATACAAATCTGGATGCTTCAATGCATTTTCCACTCCTAATATATTATATGAAGCAACCATAATCTTATCTGAAATAAAGGCAATATATTGTTAGGTATGCAAAGGTAAAAAAGGCAAAGTATGCAATGGCAATACCCGCAGAAACGGAAATACCACTTACTGCCATCCTATATTCATTATTGTTATTTTTCTCCCTTTTCCTTCAGGTCTTTAACGGGAAATGGGGTGCGAAGAATGTTACTATCAAGTGCCTTTTGAAAGTCCTCCAAAAGAAAGGGGGGAAAAAACTAACCATCTTGATGGTGAGAAGGTTTCTGGATTTCAAGGCCTGTCAACTAAGGAAAGGATCCAAAATCTAAACTCCGAACGAATTCCAAGTTTCTCTAGGGTAATCAAAACAAACATCGGACTAGGTTAAGTAGCCGCTCTCTAAATATTTACCAAGGCCGCAGGACATCAAAAGCAGGTAGCATTTGGAATGCCCTAATTCTTCCTATGAAGGTATTCGAATATCATAAGCCGGATAAATTGGCTTCAACAATGAGCATAGAACATGAGGTCCTCTAACTATATTCCTGTACAACATTCTGGCATAACAGTTATCGTCAAGCAAGAGCCCCATAAGTGGAAGAAACACCAATCAATTAATTCTAGATTAAACAATAACACCTTCGAAAAATTCTCACAGAACTGATTAGAATCCATTACCTATAAATCTTGAGCAATCACGAGTAGAGTACACCCATCGACGATGACCATCCGACTCACTCGACCTCCTCTTCTCGTACTTTCGTGAAGTTCGAGAGGGAGAACGAACTGGCTTGGACCTTTTCGATGAAGGAAGCTTCTGAGGCTCGCTGGATGTTGGAATTGTGGTTTCTGAACTGAATGCAAATCTCCGCCTCTTCTTCCGGCCATCGTTGTGACCGCAGTGTGCCGTGTTCGCCGAGCGTTCGCGCCTATTCTTCCCTGTTTTGGCGCGAACGTCCATGAGAGACTCTTCGTCCAGGCTTTCTTCGATCATTATCCAACGTCACACGGCGATCGTAGTTACCCTTTGCCCTCGGCTCTGCCTCAGATACACAAACTTACATAATTAATTTAAAGTTAAATTACCATTTTAGTCACCCAACTTTACCCTCATTTAAAACCAAGAAAGTTAATATATATATATACACATTAAATTTTTTTACTTTGTTTGAAACGAGAAAAATTTAATAATAAAAACTTTTAATTATAGTTTTGTAAATTGAATATTACAAGGGTAAATAAGTAATTTAACTCCAAATTGTTACTAGCTAAGGGATTAGTTACACTAGGACTAGAACTAAAAGAAAATATGTTGAATGGGTTTATTGTGTCACTTTAGGTTGATTATGAGCATGTTAAGGTCACGCGGTCACACGGTTGAAAAAGTACAACCGTGACACCTAAGGCCTAATTAAGCGTTAGACACAGTTGGATGGATTTGGATAACGGTGGGGGTGGGGGGGTGGTTTAAAGCCCAGTCAACCATCAATTTGATTGAGTCATGTGCTATCTCTAGACCATTTTTAACTCTTTGGTGCATTCAACTACGTTAAATCTCTTAACTAATACCGCTGAGATTCAAATCTCCACTTGGACAAGTTCCTTTCGGAAAACATTCTTTAGTGAAGGAAAAGAACCAAACTTACACGTTACCCAGAGACACGAGAGCTGTAAGTTGGAAAACATATTTGATGGCGGAAAATGATTGGGTAATAGCCACAAAGAGGAATGTATGGAGTGAGAAGCAGGCAATTTTGAGGAGAGAAGAAAAAAAAGAAGCAGCACCACAAGAGCTCCCTGAAAGCGCAACAAAACGGGGACCATAATTCACCACACCAACAGGGCCGACTCAATTATTGATAGCCTCGGTATAAAGACAAGCCATAATTGAGAGAGATTTGTGAAGTTACTTGGCAGTGCATGGAATCCCCTGCAATGGACACCCCACCAATGAGATTTCAGGGAATAGGATGGCGTTGAAAACTCCAGCCAATCAACGCCTACAGACTCCAATTTTGTAGGCCCCAAAAAGCGCAACATCCCCTCGTGACCCTCAGCTCCCACTTCGGGGTTAAAAGGCTTCAGTCCACTGGCTACGCCAATAATTGACAAACCCCACTTGGGCTATGCTGCGAAGCGAGAGGAAGGCAGCGCCGGAGGCTGCGGCGGCGATGATGGCAGGGAGGACGGCGCGTGTGTGCGATGCTTGTTTATGCAAAAGGGCGCATTGGTTTTGTGCGGCGGACGATGCTTTCCTTTGTCAAGCTTGTGATGTGTCGGTCCATTCAGCTAATCAGCTTGCGAGAAGACACGACCGAATTCGGTTGGAAACGGCGTCGTTGAAGTCCACTCATCAAGCTCAAGCTCAATCTCAACCTCATCTCCCTCCATGGCTTAAGGGCTTTACTCGTAAGGCTAGAACTCCACGACCCAACAAACAAATTTCTTCAACAAAAGCTTCCGTTTTTTCTCTTGTTCCTGAGATTAGCAATGATGAAGGGTTCTCAATTGACGACAACGAAGACGAACACCGCCAATTTCATCACCACCACCATCATCAACAAGTTCCCGTGTTTGATCCATTATTCGACGACGAAAAATTCTCACTAACCCACGAATTGGACGATTTTGGAGATGGGTTTTTGCCGTCGGAGGTCGATCTTGCGGAATTCGTAGCGGACGTAGAGAATTTGTTAGTAAGACAAGAACAAGAACAAGAACAAAAACAAAAACAAGAACACGATCGAACTACAATACTTAAGGTCAAAGATGAAAAAGAAGAAGAAGAAGAATTAGTACAAGATTGGAATTTTAAAGGGGAGGAAATCGAAGAGGAAGAGATCAATAAGGTGGAGGATGAAGTGAAAGCATTTGAGCAAGAACTAAAGGTGAAGAAGAAGATCAAGAAGAAGAACATATTCTTGAGGCTAAATTACGATGCGATTATTACTGCTTGGGACACTCAATCTTCTCCATATACTACAGGAGATCGGCCGGAATACGACCTCGATGATTGTTGGGTAAAATTCTATCAACTTTCCGTCTTCAAAATTCATTCAAATACACGAAAACAAAGACGTTTCATAACCCTGATTCGATCAATGCGATCGAGTTTAGGTACTAAAAACGTAAACTTTTCATTGAACCCACAAATTTATAGCAATTGGGTGTACTCATAAACCCTAAATTGATGAGTGCAGGAGGAGGAATGGGGTTTGCATGAAAATGGAGAGAGAGGAGGATGGAGAAACGACGGGGAAAGGGAGGCAAGAGTGTCGAGGTACAGAGAGAAGCGAAGAACACGGCTGTTTTCGAAGAAAATAAGGTACCAAGTGAGGAAGCTCAACGCTGAGAAGAGACCGAGAATGAAAGGTCGGTTTGTGAAGAGAACAGCAACACCATTGTGTTAATCTTATTTGTGGTCTCCATCTGTGGAAGCTTCTTTGGTTTGGTTCCTGCAAAGTTTTTGGAAGCTTTGGATTTTAGGGTATAAGAATGACTGTAACATAATAGCACTTTGATGGAACGAACTTTGTTTAGATTACAACTTCCTTTCTCTTTCTCTTTCTACAACAAGTGAGGGAGTGGCAATATTAAGGACCTCCTCTGCTCTATCTGTTTGTATTTTTATTGATAAACAAAACCTAATACTATGTAATTCTTACAGAGTTGAACCTCCGACCTTGTAGTTAAGGTCCACACACTCTAATCAACTGAGCTATTCCAGCATGTATAATTTTGTAATTATGTTAATTAGGAGTGAATCAGTGGAAATCATTTTTTAGTGGAAACATTTGGTTTAGAATGTAAATAGTGTAATTTTTATGAACAGTTTTTAAAAAACACTTTATTGTTGGAATAAATAATTTTTTTTAAAAAAAAGGGAAAGAAATTCTACGCACTATTGTTTTGGGGAACAGCTGGAGATCCAAAAATAGTAAAGGAAAAACAGAAATTAAATTAAGAAAAATAAAACTTGAGATACAAAAGGAAAGATAGAAAATTCCTAAAATAACGCTAGAAGGAGGGCTTGAACCTCCGACCTTGTGGTTAACAGCCACACGCTCTAACCAACTGAGCTATTCCAGCGGATGGTAATTGAATTAATTTTATTTTTTAAGTAATTTTTAATACTATAAAATAATACAATAAGGTTTAAAAAATAGCGCTAGAAGGAGGGTTTGAACCTCCGACCTTGTGGTTAACAGCCACACGCTCTAACCAACTGAGCTATTCCAGCAGCTTTGATGATTATGTCATAGAAAATATATTTTTAAAAAAAATAGAAAACAGGATTAATTTTTTTTAAATCAATATTTTCTCGAATAATCCTTTTCGAAATAGAAGGAATAAAATACAAGTTAACACTATAATTTAAATTATGAAAATATGAAGCATAAACGTAAATTTAATTTGATATCAATATTTTAAAAACTTAGGTGATTTTCGCAAGTGAATAATGTATCATTATATTAACCATTCACGATTATTATTATAATATAAGATAATTTTAAAAAAATTTCAAATTTTATGATTATTATTTTAATAAAATTACAAAGTTGAATAATATAAAAGTAAAATTTCAAAGTATTGAAAATTAATAAATATGAGAGGGTATTGTGTATAATTTAATCTGTGATTCAACATATTTATGATTTTTTAGTAATACAAATTTGCTTTTGTACAATATTTTCAAAATTCTTGAGAGCAAAATCATCTACCTCTCTTTACACGTCAGCATCCGACCGTGCCCAAACCCCAAGGTAAGTTCCAACTCCACCCCACCACCCTGGCCCACCGAAGAAGCCTCCGTGGTTTCCACCGACAAGCACTCGGTATCGTTGCTGCCGCAGACCTTCTCCGGCGACACATGGCCCTCTAGATTGTCCAACTCAAACGTGAAACACCGGGGCTCCGATGAAATCCGGGTCGATCCATCCACTACGAACTGGGGTAACATAACCGGTTCCTCCTTCGGCTTCGGCTTGCGCTTGAACCTCCGCCGCTTCTTTATCTCACTGAGACCGGAGCCTTGCTGTTTGGACACGTGGCGGATGTCGCAGCCTTTCAAAGGTGGGCCCATGTGGGACGTCGCCATCTCGTAAGAAACCGGCGGAATCGGTGCGCCATTTAGAACGGCTTCCACGGCGTCCTGACACAGCTGCCAACTCCCGGACCACAACAATCCGGCCGACCCGAAGATCGGATTGACAATCCGGCCACACGCCTCGAACAGCAAAGATTTAAAAATAGCTGAAGGACCCACAAAACAAAAATCCAGTTATAAGTAATCGAAACAGAGCAATCGAAAACAGAGCAACTGAGAGAGATAAGAAATGGGTAAGTAAAATACCAGGGCGGAGATGGTCGGGGCCGGCATTGATGAGGTTAAGAAGGCCAGCTCGGCCGTAGAATTTGGCGAGGAAGAAAGTAGCGTTGGCTTGGGATTGAGGGGTTTTGATCCATTGAAGACAGGGTCTGATGGAGCAGCTCTCACTGCAGCCTTTGCGAAGAACTCGGCATCCGTTGCAGCTCATACGCATGGCCGATGGATTGGATTGCTTAGAAGAGAAAGGAAGTGCTTGTTGTAATGGTGAAGGAAACGATGGTGGGTTTTGTTTTTGTATTGATGGGCGCTAATGGTTTTCCAGTTTTGGTGACTCTCTGGTTTTGTTACCCATTGGGGAAGTGTTTGTTGACGGCTGCGAGTTCTCATCCAATTCCACTAATTATACTAAACAAATGGCTCAGAAAGGCGTAGAAGAAAAAAGGGAGGAAAGCTGAGGGCGAGGAAGGAGCGCCCACAGTCTGAGACGAGGAGGAGACTTCAGATGCTAAATCCACACGCTTGCTTTTCCACGTTTCAACCAACTCAGACTTTTAGCATCTCGGCGGCGGCTATTCCCACCTTATCTCTATCCGCTAATTTACTTCAAATTTTATTTCATGTTGGGTCTAATAAACTTTTAAATCTATATTTAACAGGCTACTTTAGACACAACCTTGGAGCATTTTCACAGGATGGAGCAACCTGTTCATTGAGAGAGGACAACGGGTCGGAGTAGGACTAGACCCTCTTCATAGTAAAGATGTTTTAAAACAGTGAGTCTAACAACAATACATAATGGGCCAAAACGAACAATATAAAAACAAATCAAAGTAAGGCCAGAACAAGTTTGATAGGAATAGATTTTCACACCCTTATCAAAAATGTTTCGTTCTCCTTTCTAACTAAGGTGGGATCTCATGATCTAACCCCTTAGGGGCCAGCAAGGACGCTTGCCCACCATTCAGTGTCTGGCTCTAATACCATTAGTAACAATTCAAGTCAACCGCTAACTGTTCTTTGTAAAGAAAAACCTAAAGCCTATTTGGTTCCCAAGTCTATTAGATATTCCTAAAGTTCAAGGATCGAATATGTCCAAACTTGGTCCAAGGACTAAACTTCAGCCTCGTTAACATTTTGACTAATATAGATAAAATGTAAGCATAGGAGCAAGAATGTTTAAAGATTTCGTTCGACGAGTAAATAGAATTTGGTCTTCTGAAAATGAAACGACAAATTTCATAGAAATTTTAACATGTTAGCTGTGAGATTGAGACTATCCATCAAGAATAAGACGAACAGCAGAAAAAAGAAGGAAAAGAAAGCGATGAAGCATTACAACATGTCTGCTTCTTGGATTATTACACTGCTGTCTAAACTCTAACTAAAAGACAAGTTTCACATTCAAGGTATTGGGAAATGGTTCCAAATCTGCGGCTCATATTTTATTCCCAGTTACCATCTTTTGAACTCTCAAAAACCATCATCATCCCATTTGCAGTAGAAAAAAATGGCCACCAACCCTCCACCCCTTTGTGGCCATATTTTCTAGTCCCTCCTACACCCTCATTTTATGCAAAATTATGAAAGTGACCCCCCAAATATGATAATATTGGGAGTGCGAGGGTATAGAAGTAAAGAAAACATGAACAAACAGAAACAAAATTGAGAAAGTTCTCTTCTTTATTTCCTCAGATTAGATCGTCTAAAACATCAATTAGTCACCTTAATTACAGAGACATCTCTTTGAGATTTGATGAACAGCAGCAACAACAACAACAACAAAAGGACTCAGCAACAACAAAAGGACTCAGCAACAACATCCATCATGCATTTGATTGACTCTTCTATATACAACTTTACACATTAGTGAAAAGAAAGAAAAAAAACGCATCAGTTTCAACTCAATTCCCCTATCCCAAATCTCCTCCACTTCAAAAACCTAGGCTGCCTCCCTTTTGGTTAAGCCACAACAGAAATGCTGCAATTTCGGGCATCGCGGTCGAGACAGTCGAATCCTTCGATTCGGACTGCTGCAGGTCGATGCCCAAATTTCATACGGGTGCATCCACCTTTATGGGTTGATGGAGATGGGGGTTCTTCACAAAGTTGGTAGATATTGTAACCATTACCAAATTGCTCATCTTGGACTAAAGGGTTGGAAGTCCTACTTGGTGGAGACCCCCAAAAGAATGGGGGAGATGTTGCCAATTGGTGGCTTAAATTTTCACCAAAACTTTCCTATGATATAAAAAGAATAACATTTAAAAGTTTGTGTTGGTAGTAGTAGCTCTTCAATCTTACACACGACAGAAATAAGTCATCAATCAAGATAAACAGTAAGAGAGAGTAATTGAAAACCTTAGCGAGGATCATATCAAGAAATTCAGCTCCTGCTTTAGAATTTCCAGTCTTGGCATGGCTGCAAGGAAGCATATTCATATATCAGAAGTTTTTTCTCAGAGATTTAAGTTCATATCCACATAATCAAAAGCAGAAAGGTCCTAATTCTAGCAAAAAGAAGTTTAAATTGGGATTAACGGACCCGATGGGCCATCTATGGGCAGTGATGGGGTCATTATCAGGAAGGGTTTGAAGAACCAAGCGGCGTGGCTTAGGACAAACCACAGATTCCATCCTCATCTCTTGGCAGGCAGCCATGGCGTTCTGCTCGTAAACCCACCTGTTCATTCTCTTTGATATTCCTCCTTACAACTTAAAGCTCTACAACAAACAAATAAACAAACACCTTTCAGGCAACTTAGATTTTTCAGCAAAGTGGATAGAAACAAATCCCATTTTGAACTCTCATTACGTGCAACTCAAGACTTCTTTTGATCTCTCAACAAATTAGAGAAGGACATCGATATGCACAACACAAAAGCTCAAAGACCCTCGAGCAGCAACAACAACCGGCTAAAAGTTCGGGAGATCAACAATGGGGAAAAATTGAAATCGGTAGAAATGTAAACCTTATTCTCCCATTAATCCTCCTCTCCAGTGAAGGTTATTGTTCAATTAACATTCGAATCACGTCCCGAGGCTCTAAACAAACAATCCGACCATAATTTGAAAACTCAAAAAGAAGCCTAAAATTCTTGAAGAACCGAGCAGAAAACAAGCAATCCAAACCGGAAAACAATCACCACCAGAAAATGTTGTTGAACAAATAGATAACCAACCAACACAGACACAGAGAGAAAGAGAAGATACCTGAAATGGCGGCTCCTCCGCGGAAAGAAACGTCTGGTGAAGGAAGAGGAGTAGAGAGAGAGAAGCAGAGAAGTTAAAGTTTCAGTGGTTAAAAGAGAGAGAGAGAGGAATTTGAAGAGAAATGGAGGAAGAGGAGTTGCAGAGGACTTTGAGTTCACTATTCATAGAACAGGGATGAAGATGATGGGTAGGTTGGGAATTGGAGATGAGACATTCTAATCTGCGCCAACGAGCATCAGATACTGTATTTTCAACCGTTGATTTTCTCGTTAATTCACGATGTTGAATCTCCAGCCGTTCATTCAGTTCAGTGGGCCCCACCCTGGGAGATTTTTTGGCCACATGATTCCGGATGCCACGCATTTATTAATTTTAATTTGTAGATCTGCAACGTCAATTAAAATAAAAAAAAAAGAAAAAAGAATAACACATGCTCTTTTTATTTTTTTTAAAGAGAAATTATAACGCTAAGTCCAATAAACTGAGTGGGTTTTTTTTCTTTTACAATAACTCCCATCTCTCCAAAATTAATTTAATTCAATATATATTTTGGAATTTTTTATTCTATTATTTAATAAATTAGGTTAGATTAGATTTAAATTCCAAAAACAAAACCTATAAAATAAACACTTTTCTCATTATGGGCCCAAAAGTCCTCAAGCCCAGTCCAAGGTCAACGGTTGATCAGCCCAGCCCAGCCCAGCCCAACCCATCCAAGTCGAATTTGGATGTATCCGTTGAGTTAGGCCCAATCTAATATAACAATATAAAAATAAATAAATAATAAACAAAATTAGAAAACTAATTCAGAATTAAAGAACAAATTGAATTAAATTATAAAACTTTATTCAATTCCATACAATTACATGATAACTAGAAAATAATAACATGATCGAATTAAAATGAATCCGTTATTAAAAACATGGTCGTTTTTATTCCTGCTAAAACCTATTTATTCCGATCCTTCGAAATCAAAATAAACCCTAATTCAAAAGTTGCCCTGGTTGCTAGGTCGAATCTCGTCCCTAATTCAAAAGTTGCCCTGGTTGCTAGGTCGAATCTCGTCTTCCCGAGGGTCTAAGTATTTTTAACCAAAAATGGTTCACTTCTTCTTTGATCCCATCTTAACGAGAGTGATCTTAATGAGCTGGGAAGAAAAGAGGCGAGGAATCTCGTTGAAGTTTCCCATCCAAAATTCGAACTTTGCTCATTTTAGCCTCGCACCAATGGAGCTGTTCTTCGGTTAAGTCCGCGGTTCTTAGAACCCTAGAGACCACTCTTAGGTCTATAAGAGCCATCAAGATCTCCATTTCTTCCTCCACGGTGAGCTTCCTTTTCCTCAAGCACTTCCCAGCACGACGAAGGTCTTTAAGCTTTAACCTCTTCTGCAGTCATTATAATAAGAATAAGAATCTTGAAGTTGTATGAAGTCATGTTTTTGGATGATTTGCTTACTTTTTGGTTAACTTTCTTCATGAGTTGGAGGAGAGTTGGATCAACAGCAGCCCTTTTGTTTCTCTTGAAAAATGAAGCTACGATCTCGCATGGTCTCTCTTTATCTGCTTTCAAGAAGTTCATGTATGTTCTTATTCCATCCTCCATGATCATTAGAAAAGATGGCGACGATATTCTCGACCCGTACCCGCCTCCTTCCTTTTCCTCCTCTTCTGAATCTTCAAAATCCACGATCGGATCATAACCGGTAGTATTTTGTTTTAAAAGTTTCACTAATATCATATATTCTAAAAAAAATTTAAAAGTTATACATAAATTTTTAAAAGTAGTATTAACGTATTTTAATCTTTACAAAAAAGTTATTATTGGTCGACGTATGAACGAAAATTATCGACCTACATCTTATAAATCATCTCAATCTTCAATTTTAAAGGTACCGACAATAGTGGTACTAATTGTTTCCTCTATTGTGATGTCTCATATTGGTCGAGAAGAGAACAAAACACCTTTATAAGGGTGTGGAAACCTTCCCTAAATAGACGCTTTTTAAAGCTTGAGGGAAAGTCGGAAAGGGAAGATGGACTTGGGCTGTTACAAATGGTATCAGAGCCAAGCACCAAACGATGTGTCAGCCTTTTTGTTGTTCCCTGAAAGGGGTAAACACGAGGTGGTGTGCCAGTAAGGACGCTAGCTTCAAAGGGGGTGGATTTGGTCGGGGTCCCACATCGATTAGAGAAAGGAACGAGTGCCAGTGAGGTTGCTGGGCCTCGAAGGGGGGTGGATTGTGATGTCTCACATTGGTTGGGAGGAGAACAAAACACCTATAGGGTGTGGAAACCTTCACTAGCAAACACGTTTTAAAGCCTTGAGGGAAAGCCTAAAGAGAACAATATCTGCGAGCGGGAGGCTTGGGCCGTTACAAATGGTATCAAAGCTAGACAATGGACTATGTGTCAGGCTCCCCGAAGGGGGGTAGACACGAGGTGGTGGGCCAGTAATGACGCTGGCCCCAAAGAGGGTGGATTTAGTCGGGGTCCCACGATTGGAGAAAGGAACGAATGCCAATGAGGATGTTGACACTCTTTATAAGGGTGTGGAAACATTCCCCTAGCAGACGCGTTTTAAAGCCTCGGGAGAAAGTACAAAGAGGACAATACTGGCTAGTGGTGGGCTTGAGCCGTTACATCTATATACGAACAACAAGAGTATTTTTGAATTTTAAACAAAATTGTACCTATAAATTCAGGGACTTGGAGCAAATTAGGAGCCAAGAGTCTCATACGAGCATAAATCTCAGGGCGACGGCCATGTTCATAAGGCTCATTCTCAACATAACGTTGAAGAAGAACTTGAAACTGTTGAAACTGTTGAGCAACTTTGCCAGGACATCCACCGTCCAAATCTCTCGTGCAACAACTCAATTTGTTGTTCACAAAATTCTTATAGTTCCAATTTAGAGCCTCCCATGTCAAGCAAATTTGTGCTACATAAGCAGCCTCCAGTTCATGATATGGGTTCTGCTTCACATCCGAGGCCTTCTTGTTCATGTTCATGCTCCCAAACTTATGAACAATCCTCTCTGATAGCGATCTTGGGCACACTTTAATAGACCTCAGTGACTCTGTGTCAAAAAATTTAGGCCAAGATAGAATCTTTTGGTTACTTAAGGTGGAAGGAATTAAAGTATGAAATGGGTCAAAAAGTAAAGACCTGTTTCGTGAAGCTTTTGGGCTGTGATTCGATCAAGAAACATCATTTCTTCATCATATTTCTGGAAAACAGTGAAGGATTCCCATTTGGGGCAGCTTCTCCTTGAAGAGGAAGAGAGTGGATCTTCAGTTCCTGAGTGGTCTCTACCGTTTATTGAGCTTCTCCACTCTGATGAGCTCTTTGATGTTGATCCAATTGTGCATGAATCCCTAAATACCAAATAATTTCCATTCTCATCTCTTCTTTTATCATCCTCCACCAAGATCTTTCTTCCGAGCTGCTCCGAGTCCTACACCGACGTCACTTTCCAAGTTAATGTCGAGAATTGTTGAGAGGATTCAGTCCCACATTAGCTAATTGAGAGAACGATCATGAGTTTATAAGTAAGGAGCCACGAGCGCTTAGCTTCAAAGTGGACAATATCACAAAATTGTAGAGAGTCGTGGTTTCTAATAATTAAAAATATTTCTTTTACGAGTAATAAGATAGTACGAGGCATTTTAGAGAAATAAAAAATAGACCCACAAGAGCTTATATTCAAAATAGACCCACGAGAGCTTCAAAGTAGACCCATGAGAGCTTTTTGAGAAAACAAAATGTAGACCCACGAGAGTTTATGTTTAAAGCGGATAATATCATACCATTGTAGAGAGTTGTAGTTTCTAACACTTAAAAATAAGTCATTTCAAACTCACTATAAGTTCTTTTTGCATCTGGTCATCCTCATCGTCGTCGTCGTCGTCTCGTTGCGACGGTTGTGGGGACTCATAGACGGAGCTACTAGTTTTGATTTGAGCAAGTGGGTGAGTGGATTCCATGAGCCAAGGCTCCTCCAAATCTATGAACAACAACTCTTCTTCATCAGGAAGCTGGCTTTGCCACCGGCTCATCCTAGTTTCAGCTTCTTTATCAAGAAACATCGTCCTTTCAACCTCGGTACCGCCCGCTTCTTCTTCTTCCTCTTCCTCTTCCTTGTCGTCCTCGACGTCGTATCCACATTCATATTCATTTCTGCAAAAGAAAGAAGAAATACATGAAAAAAAAAGAGAGATTAAGGGAGAAAAAGAAGGGTTTTTGGGCATGAATATGACCTTGGGAAGAGAGGAGAGCCAAGGAAGTGGAAGAATTTGAAGAGGAGAATAGAAGAGAAGGAGAAGAAGAAGAAGAGAAGGAAGAAGGAGGAGGAGAGATTGTAGAATAGCCTTAGAACACCTTCTTCTTCTGCTTCTTTACACCAATAATATTGCATTTTGGATTATTGCTCTAAAATCACCTCCTAACAACACATACATACACATTTTATTGTTATTATTATTTTATTATTATTATTAAAAAAAGAAAAAGAAAAAAGAAAAAAGAAAGAAGAGTGAGATATACAAAGGAGAAAGAGAGAAAGGAAGAATGTTTCCTTTGTCCATAATCCCATGTACGAAATGACGTATTTAACCCTTAAATGATCCCGTTTTGTGAAGGATGAGAGGGGTAGATTTGTAACTTGGCAAGTATATACTTTTAAAATAATATTGAACCCATTTTTACTTTACCATATATATAACTAACTTAAGCCATACTCTCAATTTCCTTCCTCAACAAACTAATTGGAATCACTTGTAATTCAATGAATTTCATATATATATATATAAACCAAAACTAAAGCACACGCATTACAACAAATGAAATAAGATGCCTTTTTCAAAGAAATATCGAAATTTAAATAATTATAAAAATAAAAGATAAGATTGATTATTTTGATCTCTATCGTTTGTATTATTTTAGTGTAAATTTAGTTTCCATTGTATTTTTAGAAAAAAGATAAATTTTTTAAGATTGGTAAAAGACAAAATACAGGGACAAAGAATATATTAGAGATTTTTATTTATTTTTTTTATAGTTTTTTAGGCAGCTGCATGCTTGTCCTTACCTTTGCCTCTAAGGTTTCTTTTCTGAAATTTTAAGGAAGTGTTTTGGTTTAAAGTTGATGTTTAATAAAATATTTTATTTCAAAAAAAGTATTTATATTTATATTAGGATTGAAATTTAAAAAAAGGTTAGAAGTTTATTTTATTTATATTTTATTGGAATTGCTCTCAAATTAATAAATAAATAAAAAAAACATAAAATTATTGTTACCTTGTATTTAGCTAAATTTGTGAATTATAAGAAATTAGAATAAAGTATAAATAAGCATGTGGGTGAGTTTCTAGAAGCCTAAGAGATTTTAATTACGTAGTGTATTTAAAATTTAATCAAAATTGTAGTTAGGAAATTGGATTTTAATATTATTTTTATTTTTATTTTATACGTAGTCCTGTGGTTTGGTCACCCTTTTAACCACTCTTACTAAAATAATAACCTTAATATATATATTTATTCACTAATTAACTGCAAAATCTTATGTTTTTACCGTTTCAAACTACTTTATATATAGAATGTTCTAACAATATTAAATTCTTTAATTATAAATTAAATGTAATGTAACTTTTTAATTACAAACCATTTCTTCCCACTCTAAACAATTACCATCTAACTCCCTTGAATGGAGTCGAAACTTAGATCGTCTGTAACAATTCAAGTTCACCGCTAGTCGATTTTGTCTATTAGTCCAAATTTAGTGGATAACATATGTCTGTTATAGAGAGGTTTTCACACTCTTATAATGAATGCATCCTTTCTTTCTCTAACCAAAGTAGGATCTCACGATACATTATTTCATTTATTTTTTCTTTAAAAACCCTCGTCATCTTTATATTAATTTGTCACTAATTTAATTACTTTAAACATCTAATAAGGAAATTAAAAAAAAATGATTATTTTTTCAAGCAAAGCAATGGCATTATGGTAATTTTGTAAACGGTAGAAAACCCCATATTTCCATGCACATCTTTGTCAACGTGTTAGCTGTAATAAAGAAGATAAAAAGAATCCAATTATATTATATATATATATATATATATATATCTACTTGTTGTTCTTCACAATAATAGCTGATCTTAGGAGTTGATGAATGGAGGAGGAAAATCTGCCACCTGGCTTCAGGTTCCATCCTACTGATGAAGAACTCATTTCTTATTATCTCACTCACAAGCTTTCTGATTCTTCTTTCACTTCCAAACCAATTGGGGTTGTGGATCTCAACAACAATGAGCCTTGGGATCTCCCTGGTAATCTCATGTTTTTTCAGGTTTATGTTCGTTAAGGTGTCGATATAATTCGATTGTTTTACTGTAACTCATCAGCTAAAGCTTCGATGGGAGAGAAGGAGTGGTACTTTTTTAGCTTGAGAGATCGGAAGTACCCGACTGGGCTTCGGACCAATCGAGCGACTGAAGCGGGTTATTGGAAGACGACGGGAAAAGATAAGGAGATCTTTGGTGATGGTGTTTTGGTGGGATTGAAGAAAACTCTTGTGTTTTATAAGGGAAGAGCTCCGAGAGGTGTGAAAAGTAACTGGGTCATGCATGAATACCGCTCACTAAACAACCATTTTTTCAAACGCTCGAAGGTAAGTTGTTTCTGTGAATATTTGACTCGTTAATAATATAAGCAGATATCTTATATGATATTTAGTCTTCCATTATGATACTATATTTGACTTTTTATTATAGATAAATTGTGATGTCCCACGTTGGTTGGGAGGAAAACAAAACATTTTTATAAGAGTGTGGAAACCTTTCCCTAGTAAATGCGTTTTAAATCCTTGAGAGAAAACTCGAAAGGAAAAGCCTAAAAAGGACAATATCTGCTAGTGGTGGGCCTGGTCGTTTCAAATGGTATCAGAGTCAGACACCGGACGATAGGAAACCTTCCCTTAAGACGCGTTTTAAAGTCTTGAGGGGAAGCTCAAAAGAGAAAGTCCAGAGAGGACAATATCTACTAGCAATGGGTCTGGGTCGTTACACAAATATCTTGCATCCATTTAGTACTCGGAGTTAGCTTTTTTTTTTACTCTTTTTCAGGAAGAATGGGTAGTTTGCAGGGTGTTTGAGAAGCAAAACACAGGAAAGAAGCCACAGCAGTTGTCATCATGTCGTGAGACAAACTCAATTATGAATGAATTTGGAGAGATTGAGGTATCAAATTTGAGTAATTTCAGCAACATTTCAGCTCAAACATATGAAAACAATAACATGGTTGATATGAAGATGAAGATGAACATGAATTGGGGTGCACCAGCAAATGAAACAGCTTCTATCAGTGCTCTTCCTTCACCTTCATCAAGCCCACTTAATTCCAATCTTTCCATGAATTCTCTTCTTCTCAAGGCATTGCAACTTACAGCCTTCCATCAAAGGGGCGTTGATGCTCAATTTGGAACTCACCATTTGAGCTGCTTCCAACCTTCTTCCTCTTCAAAAGTCTTTGACTCTTCAACGCAGCAGCAACAGCAGGAGCAACCATTTAACTTGGACTCCCTATGGTGACAGAGATAACCCTTTCTTAAACTTTCTAATATGTCAGTTTCAATAAGGTAAGTTTTAGGGATTAGTAGACCCATATTCAGTTCAAATGTTCCTATGTTTTTGTTTCAAATCAGATCTTACATCGGTTGGAGGGGAGAACGAAACATTTTTTTATAAGAGTGTAAAATCCTCTTCTTAGTAGACGTATTTTAAAATCATGAGGCTGACGACGATACTAACAGATCAAAACGGACAAGATACTAATAGTATATTGTTGCTGAAACTTAGTGTCTCTAAACTTACCGTTTACCAAGCAAATATAGTATCCCGATACATAAAGAGTTGACTTATAAACCCTACAAATATGAAGTTTCTTAGAGTCAAAATAACGTGTGGTTCAAAAGAAAACCTAATTGTTTGACTTTAGATTTCCTGCCACATTAACTTCACTTGCACGTGCGTACTGTCCCATATAGTCTAAAATGTTACCATCAATGTTCTTTTACTTTGTGTTATTAGGAGCTAAATCAAATGCCGACACGATATCCTATTACAAAGATGATTATTCTTCTATCATTTCAAACTAACACGCTATGTTCGTACCATGTAGGATCATTTCATTCAAACTAAAATCTACAGTACAAAATTGTGCGAATTTAAAAAGATGAAATAATTTTAGTTCTCAATAATTAAGAACAAACAAGTCAAACAAAGAAGCTTTCAATTGTGTAAGGGTCCCACTTCATGATCCTGTTAAAAGAACATTAAGGGGGCCTCCTATATTGACCTTCTTTACAAGCAAGGAATAACAGATACACAATAATTTATCAAAAGGAGCCATTTGGAAGTGGCACAGAACCAGATAATGGTTAGAACTTGGAAGAAAAAATTTGGATCATTGGCTGAATTGATACATGAATCTTGCACTTCACTTCAGCTGCAGAAGAGAGAAGGAAACAATGAAGCCTTGAGGAATCCGTTGCTCCATTGTTCCTGTTCTAACGAGAAAATGAGTGATTCACAGGGAAAAATAGATCACACCCATTTTGGCTTGAACTTGAAGCAAATGACTGAGTGCTTCTTATAAGTTACCCAGCAGGCACAGTTTTGAAACCAGCTTTCATTGGAAAATGGCACGGTCGACTTCGGCAGGTATCGGGTCTGGGGTTGGTGGTACGTTTTCCACATCGTTCAACCTGGTACGGCCCGAAGTGAGGAGGTTCAACAGAGTTATGGATTGGACTTAGTTTAACTCTTTCATGGCAAGGGTAGAAGAAAGACAGGTCATTTCTGATTTGTGAAGAATCCTAGACTGAACAGTACTATAAAAGATAACGATGGATCTAAATATTTAGTAGTATTCTCACAGTTACTTGGAGAACCCGTTACCAGAATCATATAACCAGGGCTGTTCACTCATTAAAGCGGTACGTGAGTTGGGTAGCACCTAATGTAATATCTTAAGCTACGAAACAACATGCTTTAAGGGAAAGAATAAGGTACCTGAAATATGCAATTGCAATAAGAACACTCCATCTGTTCACAACTTGGATATACTCTCCCAACCTAGTTCAGAGGATCATCGGTGCTTTCCGAGTCGGAAAAATCAAAATCTTTATCCTCTTCGAACTCACTGTCTTCATCATTGCTATCTTCATCACTGTCATCGTCTGAAATCGCAGACAAAGATGCTTCCTCGTCCTACAGATCATAACACATATTTTGACTTCAAGCTTCTATTCAATTTTTATACAGGGAACAGAGGAAATAGCAGTCAGAAACTCACTTGGAAAGATTCTGAGACAAGTCCATCCTGAGACGGCCAGTTATTCTCATCATCTGAATCTTCAGTGACACCCTATGATTGCCAATTAACAATTATCTCAAACAAAGAATCGGGCGATCCGTGACAATATCCATTTTCTGTGGTGGGGTTGGTATAGGGATGTGATATCCCACATTGGTTGGGAAAGAGAACGAAACACCCTTTACAAGCATGTGAAAACCTTTCCTTAGCGGATGCGTTTTAAAGCCTTGAGGGGAAGCCCGAAAGGGAAAGCCCAAAGAAGACAATATCTGCTAGCGGTGGGTTTGGGCCGTTATAGGGGAGCTAAGGCCACCCCTTCCCACTCGAACCCGACAATCCCACATATGCAGAGAACTCATACGAGACGCTCCATAGTTTCTATCCTATGTAACATGGAAGAAAATGTTATGCAGAATTTGAGAAGTTTCAACTTACAATTTCTTTCTTCATTTCCTCTATGTTTTTCTCGAGTTCAGATATATGCTGACTGAGAGCCTACAAAGTTCCAGATAGATGATTCAAGGTGGACATCAGGGATCAAGAACAGTAGATGATTAACACCAAAAAAAAAATGGAGAAAAATGAAACCTCGTGACGCTGCATGGCAACCGAACGCTTCAATGCTTTTGCCTTCGTAAGCAAGTTTCTTGGCCTCAAGGCAATGGGTCGACGATAATTCTTTCCTCGATAGTAAATAAGGGTATATCCTTTTGGAACTCGATCGATCGAAACTAGTATCCCACCACTCTCATACTCTAACAATCTTGCTGTTTCTTCCACAAAAGCAAGTGTCTTTTGCTTGCTAATTAACTTAACGAGCTCCCTATGCTTCCAGTGTAAATGCATGTTTTCAACCACACCATCAAAGACACCACGAATGCCTGGAAAATCATGATTATTGTGTAAGAAAGAATATAGAAATTTAACTACATTTTCAAATTAATTTCACTCACCTATGGGTAGATATGCTGTCATTCGTAACCCAACTTTTCGAAACATGACCCGTTCCTCATCTGTTATTGTTTCCTGATCATCATCAGGGCCAGAAAGAACCATGGACGCTTCAATTCTAGATAGCAATCTTTCTGCTCTAAGTTTCTTAGCTTGGGCCTAACCATCAAGTTATTAAAAGATCGAAGTTGAGTATTCTATGAGAAGATCAATATCAGCAATCAAACATTCTCGGACCAAATAAAAGAAGATAATACTTACAACACCTAGCTTATGTTCAATTCGTCTCACAAGTTTTGCAGTTTTCGCTCTCGAGCTTTCTTCAATCATTTTTTGACGCTCTTCAGCAGATATTTCCCTTCCCCACCTGGACTGAGCCTCATAAAATTCAGCCAAGGTACCTGCAGGTGCCTGTCCATCATCGCTTGATGAAGTAGCCTCAACGACTTTACTTCGAGCTTTCTCTTCCAAGTCTTGAATCTGTTTTGTTAATTCCTGCCGTTCCGCCAACGCTGCAGCTACACTTGTTGGGAGAAAATCCTTCCCACGATATACGACGATAAAATACTTGTTCCTCAATAGTAACATGCCTCCTGTTAAATTCTGCAGCCATGTGAAAATGATATTAGTACAAGCAACAAATAACATGGCAGTTTGGTTCTAAACTTCTGCTTAAAAAGAAACCGCATTCATTACAGAAATATGAAACGCACCCTTATCTCCTCAGCCATGAGTTTATTATTGGTATTCTGTATACCTCTTTTAACAGCAATTTTAGCCACTAGGCTCTTTTCCCAAAGCTTAAGTATAGCAACAGCCAGGCCCTGATGGTTCCTGTTTCTCCCTGCATATACAGATTTGGAAATAGTATGTTCATAACAGAATCATGCAGCAAAATTAAAGGGCATTAGGAAATACCAAGAGCAAAATGACAAGGCAAGGATTTCGTAAGCTTCCTCATCTCAGTCATCTCTGCATTGGTAAGTCCCGACCGCATTCCAGTTGGGAGAAGCCTGAGAGGAGTTTTGTAACCGGGAATACTCGGAGGAAGCTGATCAGCATCAATAGGAAGCACTCCTGTGCCCCACCATTCAACAAAACGAGGACCTAAACCATCTAGGAGTTGGTTGTATTCAACCTCTTCCTCTGACATCTTGGCCGTCTCTGGAGCTGAAGCCGCAACACTGCCACTCATTGTTGAAATGGCAGCAGAAGAAGCATCTGGGATGGATATCCCTTCCCCCTCCCTTGCAAGGGGCTTAGTTTTTGATGGCGCTTCATAGTTACTACCGCGGTAAACTACCATAACACTTCCAGACCTCCACAGAACCAATCCTCCAGTTCTTCGCTGGTCATCAGATCATTCAAGTATTTAGCAAACACATAGTATACTAATAATGGAGTGCCAATCAGGAACTTTATTTAAAAAAGCTAATCAAGAACAAACCTCTACAATTTGGTGCGCTGTCTTCATGTCGTGTGCAAGCTCCTCGTGAAACTTAAGCCTTACAAGTTCCTCCTTCCTCCATTTCCCATGAATCTTCTCTAGCACTGGCTGTGTAATCCCCGCTTTCGGTATGTTAATCCGTTCTCTGATGAACATCCCCATTCCCCTCAGTCGCCTCAGCTCCTCATCTTCGATTGTCAATTCAGCTAATGTCGGAGGTTTCATCTTTCTCCTTTTCAACCCTCTTCCACCGCCCTCCTCTTCAGCCCTTTCCTCCTCTCTCTCCCATGGTAGAACCATTTCATCCAATATGGTATCCGGTCGAATCCATTCACGTTGAAGTAAATCCCCAAATCTTTCCTCCCCCATCACGGGCATTGGCTCGAGAGAATCCAATTCGTTATCCTCCTCTAACCCTAAATTTCGTAAGCGAAGCACAATTCGATCAACTGCACTCTCCCCTCCGTTCTTATCGAAGAATTGCGTCTGATTCTCCGCTCGATCAGTTCGATCATCTCGGGTTGTTTCGGCCAAATTCTTCTCGACTTTACGATCATTACGAGAGCTCCCAGGAGGCCATTTGGAGATCCAAGAAGAAGAGGGTCCAGAATTGTGGGAAGTTTTAGGGATTCTCTTGCCGCTGTGCTCAGTGGTTTTAGGGGTTCTGAGAGAAGAGAATGTCTTTAGAATCTGCAAAGACAAATTGGGGGTTGAAAGAAGAGTACGCGAGTGGGAGAAGAGTGGAAGCGAGTTCTTCAATGGCAGCTCCGATAGTCTGGTAGTTGCAAAGGCCATATCTGTAAGCTTAATCAACAACTGAGTCTGGAATGCTTTATTTCTTTGATTTCGTTAGCCATTGGATGCAACCAAAGAAGCAGAAAGAAGAGGAAACCAAGCTTGAGGGTTGCAGAGTGGAGGAAGAGAAGCTTCAGCGGAGAGAAGAAGATGGATAAGATTTTGGATTTTTAATTCAAAAACTAAATGTAAGTCCGTTTGATTTTTGTTAAAACGAATCAAATTTGAAATTATTCACAATCATACTCTTACAGCAACGGGACAATGATTATGCAACATTTATTCTAAAGTAATGAACAAGTCAGACGTGTGAATTCAAAATTCGCGAACAATGTTGTAGTATGCTCAAGCCTTAGATCACGTTTGAGAGATCGTGAGATCCTACATTGAGTAAGGAAGAGAACAAAAGATTCCTTATAAGGGTATGAAAACCTCTCTCTAGCCCATGCGTTTTAAAATTTTTAAAGGAAATTCGAGAAAGAAATCCAAAAGAGGACAATATCTGTTAACGGTGGACTTGAATTGTTACGGGAATGTTTTAGAAAACGTGCCTAAAGAAAGCAATTTTATAGGCTAAAAGCAAATAAGTAACCATAAGTTTATGGATAATCATACAAAGGCAGGCATCAACTATGAACCAATCAATCTTACAAAACTAGGTACCTATCTGAACTGGTCTCTATGGATAATCATAACTCAAGAATGCTTCAATTTCCAGAAGATCTCCGACTAATTGAAGGAGTATTAAGAATCTCCTGACCAAGCTCCTTAATCTTATTTATGAGAAGCGTTTGTTCAGTTTCAAGCTGTAGTATATACTCCTGCTGCACTTCCTCCAGGCTTTCTAGTTCACTCAACGTCGCCGAAACACCGTCGAGATTAGCCTCCTCGAACAAACTGCGAAACTTGCTGATTGTTTGCTTCATCTGTTTAAAATGGTGCATTTCAGGCATGAATCATGAAGTTTGAGCTTGAACATAAAGATGGGAAGAACAGTAAAATATATCACCTGACTTGAAATTTGATGTGCCTTGGTAACAGCAGATGATTCAGAATCTAAACTAAGCCTTTTCTGTTTCTGAGGATCAGGAACTTTTCTTGTGATTTGGATGTGGATCTCTCCTCTTGTCACCCCTTGAAGAGGTATCCATTTGTCAGCCATTTGGTTTGGAGGCAATCTTTGATACTCAACAACACAGTCTCCAATGCTTGATGTGGGTAGTAAAGCATTATGATCCTTAACATACAGCACTAAAGGGCTCCCATTATCAGGGAACTCTAACGTCTGGTTCCAGTGAGGATTTAAAGTTTTGAACATAACCTGCTACACATATCATCATTATAGTCAGAAGAGTTCATAACAGTTGCAAATAGTATATTTAGTTCGAGGACCTTTGTTCGTTTCTTCATGTCTCCATAATGCACTCTCACATAAGGGTCGCTTGTTCCTCCAATATCAGCAGCAACCAAATCTTTAGCTTCTATGATAACAAGTTCGATCCAACCATTAGTTGAGCCTGTGTTTGAACCCTGAAGGCAGAAAAATATCCCCAAATAGGCTTACAAATTAAGTCAATATTAGCATATGCAGGTACCAGCTTTCATGGACATTCTACTCCATAAGAAACTATGAGATCCCACAGGGGGTGGAGTGTGAGATCTCACATCGGTTGGAGACGGAGCGAAACATTCTTTATAAGGGTGTGGGAACCTCTCCCTAGCAGATGCGTTTTAAAAACCTTGAGGGGAAGCCCAAAAGAGAAAGCCCAAAAAGGACAATTTCTACTAGAGGTGAGCTTGGGCTGTTATATATAGTATCAGAGCCAAGTTCCAGGCGATGTGCCAGTGAAGACACTGAACTCCGAAGGGGGTGGACACCAGCAAGTGTGCCAGTGAGGATGATGGGTTCCAGAAAGGGAGTGGATACTGGGCACTATGCCAGTGAGGACGTTGGGCTCCGAAGAGGGTGGACACCAAGCAGTATGCTAGCGAGGACACTGGACCTTGAAAGGGGGTGGATTGTGAGATCTCACGTCTCAAAGGGGGATGAATTGTGAGATCCCACATCGGTTGGAGATGTTGGACCCCGAAGGAAAGTGGATTGTAAGATCCCACATCAGTTGGAGAGAGGAACGAAACATTATTTATAAAGGTGTAGAAACCTCTCCCTAGCAAATGCGTTTTAAAAACCTTGAGGGGAAGCCCGAAAGGGAAAGTCAAAAGAGGACAATATATTTTCAACGAGAATACAGAAACATCATGATTTGTTGTACTAAACCATACCCTTGATCCTTCATAGTCATCTGCCTTGAGTGCTTCTATCAGAAGCCTCAGTTCTCCAGAATTTACTTTCTCGAGGGGTACCCATACGTCCCTGACTGTTCCTTCAAGAAGTCCTTCCAAATTCACTCGGGCAGTACCTATGTTTTCATCCCCAAATATATCTACGCCAAAGCATTTTATCTTGAGGTATTCACCACCTCCAATCTCATCAAACTCGAACTTTTGATTCCAATTAGGATTTACAGAAACAGCAGTTTTTGTTTTCTGGAGAGCCTGAAACGAAGTCTGCTGAGTAAGTTTTCAACTATAAAGCTTATGTTATTGATCTAAGCTTCCTGTTCCAAAACTTCAATAGAAAAAGGGTATAAAGATTTACCTTCCCATATTCCAGTTTTACATATGACTCACTCTTAGCAGATTTATCCTTCAAACTAAGATCTTTTCCTTCTACAATGGTAATGGCAATTTTCCTTCCAGTTCTTGAAGGAAAGCTTGAGGACCCATCAACCGGCTGTTCAGGTCTAACATGAAGATTAAGCGAGCTATGTGAACCATCAGAAAATTGCCATTCTTTAGTAACAAGCTTCACTGTTAACTGCAAAATAGGTTAACAAAGTTTGAGATGGACATGACTGTAGTAAGATAATGATCGAATTTTCAGGCACCAACATCATACCTCCCCACAACCAACGCCTTCAAACGGGACAACCATTTCAACCTCTTTTCCACAAAACTCAGCATGCTTTGCTATCACTTCAGAGTCAGATCCTATTGCCCAAAATGTTGTGGAATCATCAGCGGCATACTTCATCTGCTCAACAAGTCAAAGAATATGATTAGCTGATACTAAGATTGTGTTGAGGATCGTTGGGAGGGAGTCCCACATTTGCTAATTTATGAAATGATCATGGGTTTATAAATAAGGAATACATTTTCATTAGTACGAGACTTGTGGGAAAACCAAAAGCAAACCCGTGAGAGTTTATGCTCAAAGTGGACAATATCATACCATTGTGGAGAGTTGTGATTCCTAACAGATTGTTCATATCTTATGAGTAATGGTTTCAGGAGAGTACCTTTACTTCACAACTGGCTAGATAATCATACTTGACAAGGCTTGGGTTAGATTCATAAAGATTGAACCGAAGAGTTCCTGTATCTTCATGCAAAATCATATTGAACGTTGAATTCCATACAGGGTTGGAGCCTGATCTTAGAGTAGTTTTCCTACTTAGCTCATGAAATTCCACCTCGACAAATGTCTGCAGTTCTTCCTTATCAGTTAAGTTTTCTTCTGGGGGACTATTCATATAAGTACTCAGAGGATTTCTGGAAGAGTTGCCTCTTGAGTAATTCCTGGAAAGCTTACTGGCTGAGATGACTGTCACATATAATGTACCACTGACAGCCTTTTTACCCAGGTCAACTGCTGGCAATGAGAGACAGCGGCGTCGAGGTTCAACCATTGTCTTTACTATGATATCTGTTAGAAGTTTAACCTGCAAAAGAACGGAGCAGATCAACGTGGCATGACCAAATAAATGCATTTCCCAATGAAAAGATTTTTTGGTTTCAGGAAGGGAATGAGAATTGAAATATTTTACCAGCCAAGAAGAGACACCAGGAAGCTCTGTTGCAGGTAACGACTGGCTACCGCCGCTTCCGAAAGCTACTCCTATTCTCACTTCTGGAGTGCAAACAAATGAATACAAAATGGCTCTCCCATCCAAGATTGGCCTAAAGAGAAGCTGCGTCAAGAAGGCCAGGTAACCAACAAACCCTTTGAAATTGCTCAATACTTAACAGAGATTGTATACAAGTCAAGCAGATACATTTTAAGGGGTATAAGACAATTGAAGGAAAGAGGGATTAGGTAGCTACTTCACTTACATCACCCTTTATGTGAATGCTGTTGATAACAATCCGTGCAGTTCCAGTAAATGGCATGGCCAACTTGGCTTGCAACATGATACTCATTTCATTTGTGTCCCAATCAAAACCCAAACGCATGATTCTCTGAAAAAGCGTACACAAAGAATAATAAGTGCCTAGCTGTTGAGGCATTGGTTGACTGTTTGCAGGACAACAAAACTAACTCTATTGTTAAGGCAGCATGTGCTTCCATTTATGCATATGAACAAGCAAGTGGCCAAACATCAAGTGTTGTAATTAAAGCATATACATTAAACATTGGGAAGTTTCCAATTTGATAGATGATGAGAGCGAAGGGAGAAGAAGAAACGGGTCTGAACATTTGGTCTATAGTAGGAAATGAATGTTCACCAAATAGGTTTCTTAGAAGATAATATATTCTAGCTAAGGTCGTGAGATCCCACATTGGTCGGAGAAAGGAACAAAGCATTCCTTGTAAGGGTGCGAAAACCTCTCCCTAGTAGAAGCGTTCTAAAAACCTTGAGGGGAAGTCCAAAAGAGAAAGTCCAAAGAGAACAATATCTATTACCGGTGTGCCAACAAGGACGCTGGCCCTCAAGGGGGGGTGAATTGTGAGATCTCACATCGGTTGGAGAAGAGAACAAAACATTCCTTATAAGGGTGTGGAAACATCTCCTTAACAGACGTGTTTTAAAACCGTGAAACTGACGACGATACGTAACGGCTAACGCGAACAATAACTACTAGCGGTGTACTTTGTGCTATTACAAAGGTTGACGAAGAAAACAAACCTGATTGCTAGATGTTGACCATTGAGTCCCACGAAGGCCCAAGCCAGGAGGACATGAACCTAGAGAAAAGGATGATAATTCTATTCTATCCTGCATGGATATAGTCAGCCTTCCTCAATATGGACATTCATGAGGCTAATCAACTCTATAAAAGAACATTACAGAACACAATAACAACTTACAATAAGTGTTGGCCTCCGGTGTTTTAATCGTTTCTGCAGGAAGCAATTTTGAGCATACTGAGTTCAGTTACAGCTAAATTCATCTCAGAAACAGCATAGCAGAAAAGGAGTTTCACCTCAACAATAGAAGTGAACTTTGAGGAAAGTTTTGGGTTGATATATGTAGGCCAAATTTCAGTCAACAGCTTATTCAACCATTCACAGTGCTCCAGTGGTGTAGTGGGCTGAAAATTTGAGAGAGATAAGAGAGAAGAAAATGACATAGAATTGATGACAACCATGATCCCGATGGTAAAACAGTACAAGCAATCAAAACCATCAAGAATGTTACCGAGGTGTCCAATACAATTTTCTTCCATTTTTTGTTCAACTCCTCTACAACTAGTTGCCGTTGAAAATTCCCATACTGAAAACACAAAAAGAAGTACAAGGTTTCATCAGTTCCAGTTGATAATCAGATAAGGAATCGGCATTAAATCAAACAGGTAATGGGTTGCAAACATTATGAAGAGAAACCAAGAATAGAACTACCTGTAAGGTCGCCCACACGGCAATAACTAGAGGGATCCAATTAGAGAAAGAAAAAACCCATTTCTCGAAAGCCCAAGCAAGCAAAAACAGAGGAGCCAAGTACAGAAGAAAGGGCTTCTCCATAACAGCATGGCGCAAAAGCTGAAGGGTTTCCACAACGTTGGATCTAAACGGCTTCATTTTTGCACTCTTCCTGTGCACCAGCTAAACAACTCGAACAGAGCTTCATCCATAATTTTGGAAGGGCAGAGGAAGCATGAAAGTAGGCATGGGGAGCTTCACCGATTGGTCCAGTATGGAATCAACGCAGAAGGGCATAAAAACGTGGGGAGAACGATCGGATTCGGGCATGGGAATCTGAAGGAAAAACGCATAGAATTGATGCAACACTCAACAAGAAAATGGAAAGATGGGGACTGGGATTAGAGCCCACGAATAATGGAAATCAAAATTCTTGGACGTGACAGATGCAAGGGAAGAGAGAGAGAGAGGAGAGAGAGAGAGTCAACAGGAAGTCAGCCGTAGAAAGCAGAGAATGAATTGGGGAATTCCGAAGAAAAAGCGCGTGTGTCTGTGTGTGGCTGTCACCGTAGCCGTAGGGAAGCTCGTTAAAAGTTATTTGTTTTATAATTTCTAGTACATAAAAAAATAAAGTTATATAAGAAATACTCAAAAACGTTTTCAAATGAAGTAATTAATTAATCCTTTTAAAAGTACTAATAATTATTAAAAAAATAAAGAGGAACGTGTACCTATATTTTCTATTTATTAATTATTTTATGCTTTTCTTAATTTCATTCTAAGCATATAAATAATTCAAGATTCCTAAAAAGGGCTTACTTGCTACACAAGTTTTGTCGAGGGATATGCTAAAAAATATATATGAAAGTTAATTAAAATTATTAATAAAGCAAACCTAAGCTTGCTTTTTATAATTTATAAATACAAAATAATAATTATATAAAATCTAAAATGAATAATTAATTAATAATAAGTAATGAGTAAATGTGGGCCCCACGATTGGGTATTAGGTAGTTAAATTATATAAATAAATAAAAATTAATTTAAAAGATGAAGAAAAGGAATATTTTTAATATAAAACTCCAGAAATGGATAAACAGCGCTTGCAATTATTATTAAAAGTGAAAGTCAATCCGGGGAATTTACACTCCTACCCTTCTAACAACCCAACGTGAAATGAAACCCAAAAATACAAATACAAATACAAATACTACGGCTTCTCTACATGCAAATTACAAACAAAGGATCATTTCATTTCAATTTCATTTCATTTCCCCTTCTTGTCTTCCTTTTCCCTGTCCAGGATTACAGGAGCTGCTGGAATGCTGAACCACCATTCCTTTACTCTTCTTGTCCATCTCTCTGTGCTTGCTTTTCTTGGGGGTGAGTACCTTGTAAATGCCTCCAAGAACACCATTAGAAGTATGTATTTTGTGGGAAGGAAGGCTAGAGTTAAGGCTATCACTAGCAGAGATACTGCAAACTTCAACGTCGCCTGATCGTTTCGAGGGTGGTGGAAGATGTTAAATCACATACATATCATACAGGTATAGGTAAGACACCAATGAAACAGATTCGAACCTGAGGGAAAATGGCGAGCAGCAGAGCGCGTAGCTTGAGGAGAACGATATTCCCGTCTTGGATCAACTGTTCCACTTGAGAAATCGTGTTCTGAACGGCTAAAAGCTGCTCCATTGCATTCATTGCTGGAGGGGCAACGACCTTAACTTCGTCGACGGGGGTACCTCCTTGGTTGAAAAGTCGTGTAACCATCATGAAAACTGCCATGAACGCAAGTAACAGCGCGATGGCATAGGGCAGCCAGTCCCTGTGAAAACAATGTCCAAGTTCATTATCGACATTTTTCCATAGGAATGCTTCAACTTAACTTGAAGCTCAATGGTAAAGAAGGACATGCAAAGATCCCACGTCTTGGAGAGGAGAACGAAACATTCTTTATAAGGGTGTGGAAACCTCTCCCTAGCAGACACGTTTTAAAAACCTTGAGAGAGCCTAGAGAGGACAATATCTGCTAGCAGTGGGCTTGGGCTGTTACAAATGGTATTTAGAGCTAGACACTCGGTGTTGTGCCAGTGAGGAGACTGAGCCCCGAAGGGGGGTGAACATGAGGCGGTGTGCCATCAAAGACGCTAAGCCCCGAAGGAGGGGTGGATTGGGGATCCCATATCAACTAGAGAAGGGAGCGAGTGTCAATAAGGATGCTGGGCTCCGAAGGGAGGTGGATTGTGAGATCCCCCATCGGGTTGGAGAGGAGAACAAAACATTCTTTATAAGAGTGGAGAAACCTCTCCCCGACAAACGCGTTTTAACAAACCTTGAGGAAAAACCCGAAAAGGAAAGCTCAAAGAGGACAATATCTGTTATATTATAAATCAAATTCCAAACCATAATGATGGAACTGGCGACCAGACTTCATGGGATCTCCCCGTAATGCCGAACCAAGACGCTTAAAACCCAAGTTCTAGATCTTGATACTTACCTGCAGATAATGTAACTGGAGATCAAACAGAATGCCAAAGACTTCATAGGATCTTCCCATAGTGCCAAAGAAACAAGGTACATCCCAAGTTCACTCACTGGCAGCATTAATTCCTGCACCACAACACAGCAAAGTAGATAATAGAGGCTAAGATTATTAAATAGCTACACAAGAATCCTCTAATAGGCAAGGCAAGACTAATACCTTCATCACTGCCAGATTCGTATCAATGCCATCTACTTTCGCTCCATCGACCGTCTCTCGAGCCATCACCACCTTTTCATAGTTGTTTCTTGATTCCTTGACTGCTCTTTCCAAAGGAGTCATTTTTCCAACAGCAATCTCACCCACAACAAGCTCATTTTCGTTCGGATCGCTTAAAGCTGTTCCCATTCCAAATCCCAAGTGAGAAGCAACGTCGAGTGCTGAGATTGAATACATTCCCTTTTCGTGACTAGAATTGTTCGTCCGTTCATTCTCCTTCATTTCCGACATATTCGCAAGGGTTTCCAATATTAAGTCCCCACCTGGGAGCTGATCACAAAGATTAAACATGAGAAGCGACTCGCATCCAAGCGATGGTGTAGAACATATATCTTGAATGGCTTGTAAACGTAGAATTCCAAGAACAGCTTTTGAAAGCGCTTCACTCCTTTGAATTCCCTTGATCTGGAACTTGTTGATAAATCTATGAACATACAGAACCTCACGGATGATTGCCAACCAAAAATCTCGACGAGTATGGCCTTTAAGTTCAGGAAACTCGATCACTACTGGTTCGGATCTAAAAAAGTGCACACATTTACCCAACAAAGAAAATTGGTGAAAATCAAACTTGACAGCTCTTAGTATTCTTATTGTTCATATACTAGATGTTTGCACCATTAACCCCAATCAATCCCAGCCCTGCCAACAAGAAAGGAATGATCTACTTACAAGGAAATGGATTTATATAGAACCGCCTTATCGAAAAGCCGGGTGCCCCATGGTCCAGTCAATTCAGGTTTGACAACCTGCTTCAGATCATCAGATAAGTCGTATCTTTTTGCCTTGTCAAATGATACGACACGAAGAGCTTCGAAGTAAAGTGCATGATCTGTCAGAACCAACCTACCTGCACACATGAAAAAATAAAGGTGAAATAGAGATGTAATGAGTAAACATGCACCAAGAGGAACAAAGAAATTACTGAAATCATCATTTCATGACTCACCCGGCCAGGTAGAAATTCCAACATGTTCAAGAACTGGTTGTGTGGTGACTGTTCCATCCACTTCTAAAATCTTTTCTTCTCTTAATGATCTTTCAGACTGAAGAAGGTTTGACTGTGATAGGTTTTTCATTTTTTTTATCACTCTATCAAGATGAACATGTAATATTAGACTGCAAGTACGAAACAAATAGATAATTTGATGTATACAGTTTCCTTCATCGGTACTGAAAGGAAAGGTACCTACTTTTCTAGCCCGCTCAGGTACTTGTCGTAAACAGAGAACTGAAGTCTAGCACTGGTTGATGAAGTCAGCGCCTCGAAAAGATTTTCACTAACAATCACGTTTGAAATTATGGGGACTGCTGGAGCGATTCGTGAGAAAGCCTCCACCCCAACTGATGCCTCTTCATCAATCTGTAATAAAGGTCAGCTACAGATGAATACTGAAAACACTAGTATCAATAATTTCTAAAACAACAAAGACACATAATCTTCATATGCTTCATCTTCCATCGTTTTACCGAGGGTGTGGAAGCAAGACATTGTGGTCAATCAAATAAACATGCAGAAATGGGACAATATACGTGACCGTTAATGAAACTATTCAGTCCGAGTCCGAGCATCGTATACTTAAGTGATTCTACGAGAATTGACAAAAGTAATATGAAGTAAAATGGTGAAGTAACCTGCATATTGGTGGGTCATCTCAGATAAAAGGAAAGTCAGTAGAACCAGAGATAAACCTCTGACCGATTTAAAGGCATTATCGATATGCAAACATCACAGGAAATTTGTAATTTTGGTAAGTCTACACGATCCAAGTGAAATACAAAATGGGATCAAAAGAAGCATCTTAATGATCTAGTAACGTTCATTTTCAAATTTCAACTATCCATATCTGAAGGATCAGGACACGTGCAAAACATATAAAACCAAGAACTTACATCAAGTAAAGGCTGGCTAGAGCTTGCTGGGGCTTCCCAAGCTATCATCATGTCAAAGGTTAAGCGTCGAAATTTTTTATCACCCAAATAGCCCGTATTTTGCGTACATAGTGCAAGTGCCCTGAAACAGCAATACTCCAGCAAGTTTCTTGCATAATTTGAGGTAAGCTTTAGTGAATCAATTGCCTCCGTATTAAAGCTTTGTTGAAGTTCGCTAGCAGAAACACCAAGAATTCTGTATATTTGACATTGTAATGGATTGAACATCAATTTATTTAAATCCTTGAACACTAATTTACTACAAGGACAACTGAAAGAACGAGACATGCTATTAAAAACTTACTTAGTACATCTCCGAACAACCACATTGGCAAATGGAGAGAGCTCGCTTAGCCAATTTCTCTGAGCAGAAGGAAACTTTTCAATCTCTTCGATTTCTTCATCAAAAAAGCTTCGCTTCCCTAACAACCATTTAAATGAACTGTCCCTAACAAGCCCCTCGAGCGTACTTTTGGTTTTGCTGAGCACAGCCATCTTATTCAAAATCTTGCAATATTGTCGAGCTGATAGACACCCATACCCAATTAAGCACCATGCCAATCTCACACCTCCCCAAAGCAATATAGCGGGCGCCCAACACCTGATGAATTCACCCGACAATGTCACTTAAACAAGCAGAAGACTCCTACCTCGTACAGAACTAGTAACTATGTACTGAATTTCAGCTAATTACCCCCAATTTAATAATCCAAACAACTGCTCTGTTCGTATCAAAAACGAAAATAAATCAAGCAGGGTAATTACACTCTTGAGGAATCGTACCTGAACACTGTAGCGATACCCTTCAATTGATTAAACACACGAGCAGAGTATCAAATTTAGTCAGCTAGGCAACAACCCACCGCGTATAAACTTCATCGAAAACCCAAAACCCAAAACCCAAATTCTATTAATCGATGACAGCCATACCAAACAAATAGCAGCTTCAAGGATTAGAACTTCGGAACCTCATCGCTCAAACGCAAGGGGTAACTCTCGTAATCCCTATGCTACAAAACCTCGCATCACGAACCCCAAAGCATTTATCTACAGGCCCACAGCGCCGATTCGCCGGATTCTGAGGAATGGCGCGTGCTGACAGAGCAGCAAGAGTCGGTTCAATCAGTCGCCGATATCGCAAGGAACGTCAAATATTCTGTGATGGGTCGGGATCTTGATTCTTGCTGAAGATCAAGAAAATAAAATTGAAAAAGAAATTAAAATTCCAATCAGATGGGTGTGATTGTAGAGGGCGAAAGATGAGCCTTCGTCACATATGGCATTATCAGCTTGATGATTGCCGCGAGCACTTTGGAGAGTGTCCTCCATCGATGGGTAAACCTTTGTTCAGATGCGGGCACGTACAACGTGAACAACGAGCGGTCTAATCTCTGATTGGCTAAAGCTTTTCCGAGTTGATCCATCTATCTACACCGCTTGATGGAATGACTTTTTAAAATACTTGGGACTATTTTCTCAATTAAATTTCCAATTATACCCTTTTCATCTAACATTTGTTTCCTTGCTACAAATTCTCCGTATATGTTATGGGCCCAATTCGTATTGGGCCGGCCACATCGTTGCTATGGAAAAAGCCCATTTGGGTTTTCAAGGCCCATATCTCAACTATCTTTGAAGCCCAATATGAAAATAAAATTAGAATATTTGAAATTGAAAAGAAAAGAGAGAATATTAGGTAAGCAATTGAACACAAGCTGACCCTCAAATCTTAGAAAATGGCTACAAAATGACACCAAACTTGACCACATTTGGACCCACTTCTCTTGCTTGCATGTTCCAATTAATATAACCAACAATGGGACGCGAGTCGAACTAATTGTAACACATGGATTTAAACCGAGAAACTTAAAAAATGTAATAAAAATGAAATTAAGTTGCAACCTAGATAATTAAAATATATAGTAAGATTAAAATAAAACTTAATCTAAAAATATTTGTTGTTTTAGATTTAATTCTATTATTAAAAAAAAAAAAAGGTATTTTCGTCTAATAATTTATTTATATATATATAAAAAAAATGGATATTTAAATTTAGTTATTGGATTTATTTTAGAAGTATGTAATGATATTGGGTTTGGTTGGTTTTGGGGCATCCACTGGCCCATTAAAAGCTGTCTCTCTCCCATTTTCATGGATTCATTGCATCCTACACAAACACACAAAAATTAAATTATAAATCTTTTTAAAATTAAAAAATTAAATCCCAATCATTCAAATATTGAATGGCCAACATCCAACGGATCTTTAAAACCCTAATGTTAAGTGGGTTTAATAACGATGTCGTTTTTAATTTCTTAAATTTTAAAAAATTTATTAAAATTTTCAAATAATTTTAATTAAAAGAAAAAAAAACAACTAAGAAAATAAACAACAAATAATTATGAAAACTATTTTAAATTACGAGTATTTGTTGAACTGTCACAGTCTGCCCAACTGTTTGAGTGTACCCAACAGAATTTTGTCATTTCCCTTACCTATTTCTTTTACTGCTGATTTTATTTATTTTTTAATTTTAATTATTATTTTTCTTCAAAATTTAGCTGTTGCCTTTTCACTCATTTTAATTTTAATTATCCATCTGTTTCTGATCTGGACGTTAACGTCTCGTTTCATAACCATTTTTTTTTATTCTATAAATCGCGTAAGAAATTAATATTATTTTATTATTGGAATTATAGAAATTCTATTATATGTACTTACTTATTCATCCATAATTGAATATTTGATTGGCACGTATATGAAATAAATAAAAATTATTAAAAATAATAATAATGGGAGACAAAGTGAAAGATTTAAAGTTGGGAGGATGACAAGCAACTATAGTACAATTATTTAAAACATTAGAATAGTATATGTCATGTGATTTCTTCATGAATTTTTTTAATTAATTAATTAATTAATATATTGGTTTACATTGGAAAAGTAAAGATTTATTAAAGTACATTTAGGTCGGCCGACTTTAGAATATTTTGATCAAAATCAGTGTGGGACAATACTCATGCATTTTGACCATCTCTATACATTAACTATATAATATATTTCATGTGAATTATTATTATTTTTATCATTAAGATTCGCATAATTATCCATTTAAGAGACGATTACTCTAAATTTCGATTTTAAATAAAGTTTTGAATGTTGGTTTAAAAGAAGCTCTACACCTGGACCTGTTAGATGGTTCCTCGTGTAAAGGGTATGCTTTGCCAAAAGTTGATGTTCAATCAATTTGTTGATTTTGAATTTATAATAAAATGTCACGTCCACTAAAATTAATAATTTAGTTGAACTATACTTATGTTGATATTAAATTTGTTATGAGTCGAATAAAGACAGCCACGTGGGATAGTGTGAGGTCTCACGTCAATTGAGAATAAAATATTTCTTATAAGGGTGTAGAAACCTCTCCCTAGTTGATGTATTTTAAAATCTTGAGAGAAAGCTGTTTAAGATAAAATTTAAAGAAGACAATATCTGATAGCGGTGAGTTTGAGTTCAATTTGCCAATCCTATCCTTGGTCATCACACTATAAATGGCCAAACACCACACCAGTACAAGATTTTGTGATCTTGATGCTAAGACTCAACTCGGATATCACATCGATAATCTCCAACGTCAAGATTCATGCATCAACAAAAACTCTGATTTAATCTCGACTATTATTACTTTAGCTTATGTCAAACTCTAGAAAGTGCTAATCCATTTTGAAATTCTAAAATTATCCGATCATATTAGAACTCCAAAATTTTATTTTATTTATTATTATTATTATTATTTTGTATTAGGAATTTTTAATATTCTTTTCTAAACACTCCACTACCACTCTATTATCCTTTTTTTTTTTTGGTGGAAAGATTTTAAAACATAAAGAATAAAAGGAAAACTTTGAAAGCCTTTTTTTTTTTTTCAAAAAAAAAAGAAAAAGAAAAAAGAGTGAACTTTTTAGGGTCGTGAATAAAATTAAAAGATGATGTAACACACGTTGAATCGAAACCAACCACATCTAAATTAAAATGATTATCAACATACGAAATTATGCTCCAGACAAATTTAAAAAAATCGATATTTCTTATACTGATAAGGTATAAATTTATTTTCAATGGCTTAATTGTATGAGTTTCAAAGTTAAACATGTTACCTCCAAAAAAGCACGAGTGAAGATAAAACATGCTAAAACGAGTCGTGTTAGAAGTAGTTTAAGTTAAATAGGTAATATGATTATATCGCACGGGATCATCCTGTGTCAAATCCTGGACATGGGTATTTATAATTATTGTTTCTTTGAAAAAACAAAACAAACAATAATTTGTACGCTCGAATTGTTTGTACATGTACAAGAATTATCCATTGGAATAAGCTCTTTCTATTAAGTACCTATTATAAATGGAGAACCAAATTTATCTATAAAATCATAAAAAGAAAAAAAAAAAGCTGAAAAATGGATGATCTTCTAATGTTGACTTCCGGAAATAAAAGTCAAAGGGGCAAATTTGAGTGGAAGCAACCTATTCCTCCATATCCGTCTCTCATCAATCTCTCCAGTTCTTCTTTTGCTTCATGTGCCTTCGCTCTCTGCGACAGTACCAACGATTATCGACTCGAGCATAGCACTGTATGGATGTATGGATGAGATATCAATTACCATCGTAATTTACCTGTAGTTTTGATATGGCATCGACCTCCGAGTTGAAGTCATACAAAGAGCTAGCTGCAGCCAGTTTCATAGACAGGAACTGAAATTAAACAGAAAAAAAGAACATTTAGTTTCAATCCCTTTTGTTCTTCGTTTATATGTATAATTTGAAGAACTCACCTCTACTTGATTCTGCAGAGATTGAACATAATTAATTATCTCATCCAACATGACCGCCATCCCCATGGTCTGTTATTCCATTAAACATTTAGTTTCAATCCCTTTTGTTCTTCTTAAAATTACCCACAAAAAGAAAGAACAAGATTCTTGAAAGAAAAAAAAAAAAAAGAACTTTTTTGACAAGAATATGCTTAGGTTCTTGTTCTTACCTTGTAGCATCCTGGGACAATGTCTTTCAAGCATCTTAGTCGTTCATTGATTTTGCCTCTTCTCACCTGATTGATTGATTGATTGATTGATAGCAATTGTTTTGATTATGATATACAAAGGAACAGAGGTATTTTTGCAGATGATTAGTAATGATTTGAGAGTTACCCTTTCAGCTAAACTGTGGCTATCAGTGGCTTGCCCTCTTCTTGCTCTAACATGAACCACTTCTCTTCTTGATTTCTCTTCTTCTTCTATCTCTGTTCTTTTCAGTCTCTTCCCTTTTCTTGAATTCTGTAAGAAAACAGAGGAAAGCTTCATTAACGCCATGGATTCAAATGAGGAGGAGCTGAAATGAATTAGTTTAAATGGTGTACTTGTTTTGTGTTGAACCCTGTTTCAGAGAGTTGGGGAGTTGAGATTCCAGAGCTGCTTTCTGAAACATCCATGGATTTTCTCTTCTTGATGTCGTGGAATTCAGAGAGTGGTGGTGGGGGAGCAGTTTGGGAGGGAAAAAGTGGGAAGCTGGAGGTGGGTTCGGGCGGATTTGGTGGTGGAAACTGCGGTGGCGGTTGGTGGGGGAAGAAGGGGTCGCCGGAGAATGGGAAGAAGTTGGTGAAATTGGGAGGTGGGTTGGGTGGAACAGAGTAGGGAGGAGGGAGGAGGTGGAGACTAGGATCGTCCATTGAATGAGGGGAGATGAAGGTCTGGAAGTGGGGAGGGAAATCCGCCATTGATGGGAAGGAAGAAGAGGTGGAAAAGGATTATATATAGAGAAGAGGAGAAGAGGAGAAGAGGAGAAGAGGAGAAGAGAAGGGGATTACAGGGATTGTAAGTTTGGAGTTGATATCAGGAAACTGTTACATCTAAGAGAATGAAAAGGAGAAGCATTTGGTGGGTGGCCACGTGGTGAGACCAGCTTCTATGGTTGTGTTCCCTAAGTGGACCCCACACCTCAGGAGATATAATCCAACAACAAATACGGGCCCACGTCATGCCCTTTAGTTTTTCCTCTCCCCCCCCCCCCCCCCCCCCCCCCCCTCCCCCCACACCCCATATATCCAAAAGCTTATTTATTTATTTAAAGTTTAGTCCTTTCAAAATCATTTCTAAAATTGTTCCCATTCATTTGGATGGATCGTAACTACCTAATCAACAGTTGTAATAAACTATCATCAATCACCATTTTTTCCTCTATAGCTACAATACTGAACGTACCATACTAATTTTGCGTTCGCATATTGAATTGGATCAAACTAAGACATT